GTTTGAGTACTCTAATCAATTGAATTTTGTCCCAGATTTATATCAGTTTTATTAGTTACAAATAACGTAACTAGTGAGGATAAAAAGATAAGATTTAATTTGCCTGCTCAGCATCTTAATTCCCAGTAATATATAGAAACAATTATGAAGGTTCTTTTTGTTATTTTCCAGATTATCTTGAGAAGTTAATTTGCCCTCTTTTCAAGCTAGGGGCTTGTGCATTGTGGAAAGAAGAGGCCACTTACCAGCAGTTATGATGAGACTGAGACTTTGTTTATAGTTTTTTTATTTATAAGCTTTAATCGGCTACCTGCTTGTTCATTCAGGTGTTCTGCTGAAACTCTTTGTATCTTACTGTTGTCCCATGTGTCATTTACACAATCATTGGAAAGACATCATTCTCTTTTTGTGACAAGTGAAAATCTTTTTTTTTTTAAATGATCTTTATTTAGAATTTTGTTTTCAGACATACATTACTTAAGAGAGACAAAAAGACACACGTTATGGACAATCAAAGGAGTGGGAGGGGGGGAGGGGGAGGAAGGTGAGTGAAGGGAAGGGGGTAAGTTAGTGTTCAAGGGGTGGAGGTATGGCTGTAAAACATCTATACACACGGTTACAAAGACATCAGTCAATTAACAAATAACATACAACAAATGAACTTCCTCAAAGATTCGGCAGAGTTATATTGGTTACAGAAAAATATAAAGTCTCTATATCATCTAAGCAACTTCCCTAGTCTCTTATAATTATACTTTTTCTCTCTCTTAGATATCGCCTAAATGGTTGCCAATCGATCCTGCGTTTCTTACTAGTGTCATATGTCATAGTCGCCAAAGTGTCCATTTCCATTAGATCACTGATTTTTAGTAGCCAGGTATCAATTTTTGGTATCTCCTTACTCTTCCACGCGCCAGCGAGTACAATTCTGGCGGCTGCTGCTTAATGTTCCGTTCTTAATGTTCTTGATATTAGGCGTTGGAGGGGTGGTCAGGCTGAAAGAGAGTGAGGGCAGGGAAGCAGAAGCAGAGGGAGAGGAGAAGGAACGAAGGAGTTTGGGTTGTACAATATAGGAGAATATAAGAATATAAGAGAATTAAGATGAGAAAGCTTCTAATAAAAGATAATGGGCTTGCGCTTGGTTAGGCCCTCTCGGCTTGCTCTCCAGTCCCTCCTGGAGGCTTACCATGCTTCCCAGGTTAGCCGGTCTCAGGCGTTCGGCGTCTATTTTCCCTGCCGCCTCTTTGTTCTCTTTAGTTCGCTTTTATCGTTCTGATATTTTTCTTACTGTGAGAGTGGAGGCAGGCGGCCTCTACGGTTCTTCCAAACCGTGCCTTCCCCCCGGGCGCCGGCCCTCGGACCCGCCAGGTGGGGTTGGCAGTCGTCCTTGAGGGGCAACTGCTCTTGCCCACCCCCGCGGGACCTCAAACGGGCTTCGCTGGCAGGCTGACCTCTATTCCATCAGCCTGTGGGGTCTCTTCTACCCCTTGCCCTTCTGGGGGATGCACAGGTCCTACAGGCTCGCAGAGCCTCGCCGACCTGCTGCGGCCGCCATCTCGCCTCCACCGGAAGTCCCACAAGTGAAAATCTTGTTTTGGAAGACATTTAGGCTGCTTGGTGCTGAACTTTTATTCAACTGACTTCTGTAGAAACATGGTTTTATGTATTACTCCTCCCTTCATACATTTTGATTTTACCTAAACACAACTGAAAGCTTGTTCTATTTTTTAAAAGTACATAATAAAATCAGCCACGTGTCTTGAAAGGAAAACTGTAAATATATTTACAGAGTTAGTTGAGAGGAGCTCAATTTAAGCTTGTCCAAAAACACATAGTTCCTCTGGGCTACAGCACTAATACATCAATCTATTTGTTTTGTGTGTGATTTTTTTCTTTAATGATTCAGTGGGTACCAGATAAATAAAATTTGCAAAAACAACAAAAACAAAACAAACCCCCAAGTTGAAATGTATGCTCATATTGTAATGAGTCCTGAGGCCAGACATTTATGATCTCCTCTCATTTTTCCATGGTATCATTTTGGATTTAGTGGTAACACTCGTTCCCTAGGTTTGTTATTAGGAAGACTGGGTTATTTTAATAATCAGGCAGAATATTGTTCTTTTATCAGTTTGGGTTTTGTTTGTTAGTTGTCCTTTGTTCTTCTAACTGATATTTTGGTCATAATGTTCAAGCAGAGGATAATTGTACAAGGAAATGTATGATCCTCATCATATTTCACATGTAAAATGCTGGTAACTGATATGGCCTCACAAAAATTGAGTGCTTCCAATAACGTTTAAAGCTTTTAGAGATCTGTAAATAGTGGAGAATCTTTACTAATCATGAAACAGAATCATACAATTAAAACATGGTACTTACTTTAGTGTTGACTCAATTATCCAGCTAATTCTGAAATTGATTATCACATAGCAGATTCAAATTAATCATGGTTCCGATTTTAGATCATGGACTACCAGATTAAAGAGTCTGATTCTTTAAAGTGGAGTAGAAGCCTCATCACTTTTTGGTGACGTTCAGTCTGTATTCAAGTTTGCTGCAGTGTAAGTGTGTCTGCTCATTTCAGCAAAACCTGTCTTGTACCACAGGTTTCTTTCAGACTTCCAGGTGGAAATCTTCATTTTTATTCTCTCTGCATTTAAAGAAACCTCAGCTCCCCTTTGATGTTTAGATGCAATAAATTCCAATTTATTTTAGATCCACAATCCTATTTTTCTCTTTTAAATTCACCCTCCAAGTTTAAGAAATAATTTCTGGTGATACACACACACACACACACACACACACACACACACCATTATTGTCTACAGATGGGAGCCCTTCTGGGTTGAAAGCAGAAGAAGGAAGGGAAGAATGATGGACAGGTCTAGAGGGGCAAATGGCAGGTGGATAGGGAGGGAGGAGCCCCCCCCGCGTGATATCATGAGACCAATCTGGTGCAGGAAAAGAAAGGCAGGAGAGGCATCAAACTTCCTAAAAAGAAAAGGGTGTCACGATATACTCAGCAGATGAATACACACCAAAAACAAAAGTAGGACTTGTGCAGCGGCCGCTTGGGACACTACTTGCCGACGTAAGATTGTAAATAAATATAAATCGCATCCCTACTTCACGGATTTTCACATTTCACGGATGCTCCTGGAATGTAACACCCGCGATAAGTGAGGGAACACTGTATCTCCGTCGCCTGTTGACCTGTGGTGACCCCATGTATTGCATAGGATTTTCTTAGACAATAAGTACCCAGAGGGCTTTCTTTCCTCTGAAATATAGCTCACAATCTGTAGTATTCATTGGCAGTCTCCCACCCTAGTATTAACCAGGTCTGGTTCTCCATAGCTGCCAAGTTCAGACAGGATTCAGTGCCCTTAGGGTATTTAGGCCCTACTTCATATGTATCTTAACATTAATGTTAGTAATTATAAAATGATTTTGTACAGTTATACTATGATTCTGATAGCTGTGGTAGGTTCCACACTCTCTGAAGTATGACAATAGAAATGAGAAAAGTTAGCTGCTGGGAAGAAAGGTAAACATTTCACTTAGGTGATGTTTGAAGGACTGTCTCTCGCTATATATCTGTCCATGTCTTGAAAACTTCTAGAGAGCCCCTCTCCTAACACTCTGGACCAAGGTTTGAATGCACTGAACCATGGAAACCGATTAGGTGATTTTAGTGAAGTCACACTCTCTTGGCCTGAGAGGAAGACACTAGCAAAAGCCCCCCCTCCTCCCCCAAAGGGGTCTTGTCAAGACATCCCTGTGATAATGTTCATCTTGGGGTCACTGTAAGGGAGAAATGTTTGGAAGGCACACAACCATTGTTAACTGAAATATAACTTAGCATGCCTCTATATATAATCTTAACATACATACAGTATTTTATGTCATCAGTGCTTGATGCTCTGTCTAAAGCACCTAATCATTTATTATTAACGTGCATTTCATGATAAAAACGTAATATAGTAGTTTACAAAATAATATTTTAATCTATAGATGAAGGGGAAAGAACTTCTTACAAGCATCAGATATATGAATAGAACACCAGTTTAGCTAGACTATTCTGAGCATGGCATTTCTTAAATTTTTATTATTTCCATGCAGTCAACTTGATTCTTGAGTAAAGCTGAATAGCTGTGTTCTCCATATTTTGACAGATGGCTAAGTCTCTGAGGTGATTGCGTGATCACGAAATGTACTGTAGTGTTTTGGTTTTTTTACAGGAAGAAATATTTAAATTCTTAAATGTTCTCTTTTGGCTAATTGTTACAGTTCATCTTGCTTGTCTTCTATAAATAGTTCTCTGCTTAATACCCAAGTATTGATCATGTTGACTGAGCAGGTGGGATAGATGTGGGTATGATAGAAACATTTTGTAACATTACTTCTTTCTCTGGGATAAGTTCACAAATTCGGTCATTGTTTGTATTGGCTCACACATTGTTACATTTAGTAGTTAGATATAAAGGCCTGTGTACCAGGTCTTTATATAATACATTCACTGTCAATGTTTATAGGTGTTTGCTGGATTCAGTTTATTTATTTATTTTATTTACTCTATTTTACCCCATTTTTCTCCAACACGAAGGGGACTAAAGGTGGCTTACATATGGCAATTATTCAATGCCTTGCAACACATACAGACATTAAAAACTTAAATCAGTAGAGTTAAAACTAATACAAGTTAAACATTTAAAAAGTTACATTCAATATTAAAATCATGCCATCCAAAAATTGTGGTTCAAGGCCAATTCCATAGTCATAAGATATGAGATATAGATTACGATTATGTGAGTGGGAAGGGGGTATGTCGTCTTGTGTCATTGTAGTGTAGTGACAGGATTGTATCACATAGACATATATGATGCTTGAATTGTGTCAGCAAGTGACTTTACTCACCATAAATATCTGAGCTATACCATACATTGGCTTAATTTGATTGGTTGTATTGAAATATACACATTTGTTTACATTTCTAGGTATGGAACATCAAACAGATGATTAAATTAACGCAGGAACACATAGAGGCCCTACTGGATAGGTTTGGAGGAGAACACAATCCACCATCCATTTATTTGGAGGTAAGTGCTGAGTTCAGATGCATAAAATGTCACACATCTTGTTTGAATTTAATTGTTTAGGTCCAATTATGGTATGTTGTGATATCTATAGCCTCCAAACCATGGCTTCTGGTTTTGATTTTGAAGACAAATTTGCTGATGTATATATTTTTTAATCACATATTGGCTGACCAGAACAGAGAGAAGTTGTTTGACAGAGGGGGAAAAGAACCACATGGCTCATTTGTGCTCCTTCAAATCATGGTTTGGAGCATTGTCTAGCTTGAATGATGATGATATCAAATAGCATGGTGGTGGGAATTTGTCCATCAGACCAAGTATATGTTTTTGAAATGTTTCTCGGTCAGTACTTAAAGAGTTCCTTTTTAACACATAGGTAATCAAGAAGAAGGCTAAACAATTTATATTTTGTTACATGAAATTTAAACATACTTTTCTGCATTGCTTTGTGACATTCTGCTTTTGTATTTTCATGTTGCCTGATATTCTATCTATACCCATGAAAGGCAGATAGATTTTTTCTGTAATTAAATCAGATTATGATTGTCATAATTCTCTATGCCTGTCACAATTGTGTTCTGGGGTTTGATGTAAAGCTCAGTTACCAGGACCAGAGGAGACTGTCATAAATGCACAGTAGCGCAGCTGGCTGAGTGTCAGCCGCATTAAGATCACTCTGACCAAAAGGTCATGAGTTCAAAGCCAGCCCGGGTTGGAGTGGGCTTCCAACCAATTGTGTAGCCTGTTGTCGACCTTTGCAACCCGAAAGACAGTTGCATCTGTCAAGTAGGAAAATTAGGTACCACCTTGTGTGGGGAGGCTAAATTAACTAATTTATGAGGCCATAAAAAAGACTCCAGCAAAGCACTCCAGCAAAAGCATGCGGGGAATGTGGAAGTACTTCATCAGTGTCGCAGATGGACGATGAAAGCGACAGCTCCCCTGGCGGCCAGAAAAAGTTAAATAGCCTCTGTCTATGTCTGTATACGTTGTATGTCAAATTGGCATTGAATGTTTGCCATATATGTGTACACTGTAATCCGCCCTGAGTCCCCTGCGGGGTGAGAAGGGCGGAATATAAATACTGCAAATAAATAAATAAATCTCTCCATATATTGTTGAAATATTTACGACTGTCTCCTCTGTTTCTGATGGTTGGATGAGATACTCCAGCTACTGGGCTCTGACGCAGGAATCCAAAGAGTTGAAATGGATTTGGACTGGCCAGTGGTTTCAGCCCATAAAAACTACTGTTAGTGTCTGAGTATGGTGGGAAGTATCTCCTGTGTTATGAAACTAAAGTTTAAATAGCCACTGCAAAGTTAGTCTTCAAAGCAAGCCTTAATCTTGCTTTCTGGGAACAGGGAGAGAATGCAAAATGGGGGTGGTGATGGAATTGCTGCAGTGGGGTATTACTTTGCTTCTGATGGCTTTTGCTTGCTTACAGAGATGTCATCCTTGATGCTTTGTTTAAAAAAAAAGATAGGTGGGAGGATAATTATATGGCAAAAATAAAATATTATGTTTAAAATGTATTAGCAAAGTCTGAATCTGCCATGTCTTAATTTGGATACAAAAAAATCTGTGTTCAGATGGCTGTTATTTTACTTTGTGGACATATATACTCATTTTCCTCAGGTTTCAAGATTTCTGTGCTTAGCACTAAGATCCTAATTTGAACATTGCCCAAACATATCTTATTCTTCTCTAGATTACATGCCATGTATACTCATCTATAAGTCTACTTCATGCATAAGTCAAGAGCAGGTTTTAGGGGCAAAGTTGAACATCATGGCAAGAATCCTTTTGGTGCACTATGGTAGTGCCACAGCCTGTCTTGTCGGGAAGAGGCAGCAGTAGCAGCAATCAGAGGACTTGGCTGCCCAGGGAGAGAAGCTTGTTTCCAATGTCAGGCTTCCAGAAGAGTTCTTAGAATGAAAAGCAGCCTGGAAGGAATTGCTTAGAAACTCATTTATCTTGCCATAATTGTAGTTTTCTGAGCAATTTATCATAGAGTATGTTTAACTTCAAGCCCTCTCAATCCTAGAAACCAGACATTTTGAAGCTGGCTAATCAGCCAGCAACTGCCTCCTCCCTGCCTGTTGCTGCTGACTGCCATTTTTCTCTGTCCCATCACATTGCTGCTGTCTATACTGGTGTAATTATGCTGTTGGAGGAACACAATGGAATACTGGCAAATAATAACAAACCTCAGGCAGCAATGTTCTCTGCTTTTACCACTAGATTAGAAATATCCAATCTTAGTTTGTTTCTTTGTCCAAATCCCCATATTATGGTTTGTGTAACTTCAGACAAAATGGAAACTTATGGCTTGGAAAATGTATTTATCTCAGAAGTATTAAATAATACTTTAAAATAATTTGTTCTCCATCTACAGGCCTATGAAGAATACACCAGCAAACTAGATGCACTACAGCAGAGGGAACAGCTGTTATTGGAATCCATGGGGAATGGAACCGATATCTCTGTCTCCAGTTCTGCTTCAACAGAAACTGTTGCATCATCATCATCATCTAGTCTCTCTGTAGCACCTTCATCTCTCTCAGTTTATCAGAACCCTACAGATTTGTCAAGGAATAATCCTAAATCTCCACAGAAGCCTACTGTTAGAGTCTTCCTACCCAACAAACAGAGGACAGTGGTAAGGCCTGCACATCTGCCAAAAGTTTCGTTTTTGTTACCTTGCCAAAAAGCAAGATAATTGTCAAAACATTAGAAAGTCAAAAGGACAAGATGCAGCTGAATTCTTATACAGAACATATAGATTACTTGCATGATGATACTGATTTGCTGTGGAAAAAGCTTGGTAGTTAGGCTCTAGCTATGTTGTGTACATGAGAGTAAACTGCAGCACAGCAAGACGAAATCATCTCCTCTTACTGGAACATGGACTGTCCTGGATGTGACTTCTCCCCAGTCCTTGGAATGTCTGTGCCAGGCCTCTGGGAGCAAATAACATCCTTGTGCTTTCTACTTTTCCTAAGTGAATTCAAGATGGTAATACAGATAAAGAGCAGTAAGAATTGTATGGGAAAGGATTGGTAATAATGCTTCAGTGGAGACAATTTTTCACCTTTTTCGGGAGTGGATTTCTCTCAGAGGGCCAGATTTCTCTCACTTCCTGTTGTCTCATCCCTGTTCTTAACTGTGAGTCATTTGTAAGTCAAATATTTGTAACTTGGGTACTGCCTGTGATATACCATCAAATGTAACTTGCACCCCAGTTTTGAAGGTCTGCGTTACAAAGAAATTGCTGTTGAATGAATTGTGAGGTGGCCATGATAAGACTGGTGGGAAGCTGCAGCCCTCCGTCAGGCCTGATAGGAAGCCAGCAGTAGCCACAAAAAGGTTGATGGGAAGCTACACCCCTCTGCCTGACCTTCCCACCAGCCTTTTCATGACCCTCCCCTGCCCCTAGCTAAGATCTCTTGCCCAACAGTATAGACAGATTTAGGTGCAACACCATTGAATCTAATCAGACCTCAATTTTAGCAATGTAATTTAGCCAAAAAAGTTGAGTGTTAAACCCAAGTAAGTATGGTAAGTTTGTAGTCAGGTAAATTGACCAGGATTATATTTTTGATAGGAGATGAGAAATTAAAAATAGTTTACATACTATAAGACCTCCACTAACAAAACTAAGAATGCCCCTAGTGCATGAACTGGAACTCACTTTTGGTACACAGAGTTTCTAACACACATTTAAATTTAAAACCAAGGAACTAGTAACAAGGGAAAGTAATGAAAAATATATACTTTTAGGTTGTGTGTTTGTGCGGAATGGGGGGATTGTGCGGAATGGGGGGGGTGTAAGATAACAAAAGCTGAAACAGGAATTACCATTGGCACAGACGTGTGAGGAAAATGTAGCATTTTAGGTAAGAGGCAAGTTAAGCATGAGGGAACGAAGTAGAAACAAAATGGCAAAGAGAAATGTAAACAGTACAGCAGTAGAAAGTGCAAATTCCATGTTTTGGGTGAAATCCTTTAAAAGTGAAGAATACTGAGATCTAGTTATCTTCAGACTTTAGTTTGTTAGTATCTCTCTCAGAGAGAAGTTCAGTTTAGCAAAGCAGTAAAGTGTAATACTAGATGTCTCTAATTGGATGAGTTTAAGATACTTCTCTAGGTATGGAAAAGATTGCAACTTAATTTGGACTGGCTTTGAACCTGTTGAGTTTTATACAGTGTTTTAATGTTTAAACTCATATCCTAAATTTCTATCAATATGTTTAATTTAATATTAAGCCCTTGCAAGATCTCATTGTTAGAAATATGCTCACTTTTCTCTCTTTGGGTATCATTTTTGTAAATCATGATTCATGGGAAACCTGCTTTTTTCTGCTTAAATAATCCCATTTCAATGTGATGGATTGTTGACAAATAGTAAATATTCTAAATGGGATGTGAATAAGGATTCCTCTTTGGAGGCCTTAAATCTCCATCTTGTTTCTTGCAAATAGAAAGAGATGTTATCCTGTTCAGCTTTAGAACTCCTAGTCACATTTTCATTTCCAAGAATACCGTGCCATTGCTAGAACTTAGAAGGTCACTTTTTAAAAAAGTTTTGTTTTGTTTAGAAACTTGGAATCAATGCTTCTTGGATGAATTGAGAAATTGTAATCTGAAAAATAATGTTTTTGAGCTCTGGCTTTTGATTTCAAGTATGAATGCAGTGAATCTGGTAGCATTTCCCAGCATTTCTCATTTTTTCACTGTAACTTGGTGATTATTTCTCATGGTTTAAATTTGAACTTCCCTTCTTCTTCAGACATATAACTAATACGACACATTTTCCAATGGTTCTGGGAAGTAGTCTCTTACAACTCCAGGAGAAAATAATTTCAGCCTACAAGAGGCAATATCCTCCTTCTTAATTTTTATCCAAGCACACCACAAAGGAATTACAACAGGGTGCTAATAGTAAACTGTAGGTATTCAATGAGAAGGTTGCAACTGCTTTGGGGAAATCAATCCAGTATTCTGAGAACAGGAGCAATGCAAATGCAACTCCCCTTGTAGTGCTCCCTAATTTATTATTGTGATTCCGCTTCTGTTCTTGACCCACAGAAAGGTTCTTCTTTGCATCTGGGCTTCTTTCTGACAGTGAAGTTGGTCTGCAGGAAGTGGAGCAGGGGGGTACACATTTGCCTCTTTCTGTTTGTTTTAAGCAGATTTGCAAATGATTCCACAAAAGTTATGAGCCTGTGAGAATATTTATGAGTTTGCAAGATGTTCTGTTTTGATAAAGATTTCTAAACAAGAAAAAAAGTGCCTCTCGGTTCCTTAAAAAACTGGTTTGGGTTTGCATAAATAGAGAGTGTGGGATATAAATAGCTCTGACAGAACACACACACCCAGAAAATGTTGTCAGATTCAAGTGCTCAAACTTCCACTCCTTTTCACCAATTGAGTACCCTGTGTAGATGTGTTTAAATGTTAGGTGAAAATGCATACGATTGAGGATATTTGGTTTTGCAGTACTACAGGTGAAAAGCATTATAGATTATTTTTTAATATAAATTGAATATGAGCCAGCAATGTAGTACTGGAGCAAAGAAGATTAATACTATTTTAGTCTGCATTAATAGAAACATAGTTCATTTCCAAGTAAAGGGAAGTAATACTCCCCTTACACTCTGTGGTTGTTATGCCTCATCTGGAGTAATGTGTTCAGTTCTGGAAGCCTCATTTTAAGAAGGATATAGATAAGTTGAAGCAGGTTCAGAGAAGAGCAGCAAGGAGGATGAGGGGTATGGAGAACAAAAAATATGAAGAAAAGTTGAAGGAGAAGGGAAGACTGAGGAATTACAGGATTGCACTCCTGAAATATTTAAGGGCTGCCAAAGAGAGGAAGAGGATCGGCCTGTTCTCTGCTGCCTCAGAGAGCAAGACCAGATCTAATGGTTTGAAGTTATGGGAGAATAGATTTCAATTGAACTTTGTGACAGTAAGTGGTTCAGCAATGGAACCAATTGCCTAGATAGGTGGGATTTCCTTCTTTTGACATCTTCAAAAAAGAGAGGCTAAACAGCCACCTCCTGAGACTGCCTTATCAGAAGATCTTGTATTGAGCAGTGATGTCTATGAGATCCCTTATAACTCTAGACTTCATTTAATATATATGTTACATGAGTGCCACATATTTTACTTGCTATGTCCTGTATGCACAAAACATCCTCCCAGAAGCTGATCTTTAAAATGCACATGTCCACAGAGAAGTGTTTTTACACTGGATATTTTTAATTGCTGTGCATGCTAGAATCCTCTGATTCTTTTTCTAAACTGTTTTTAAAGGGCTCTTTATGCCATTGGTTAACTATTTGGTTCACATAGGATTTGTAGTAAATACTTACTTTAGTCAGTCTAGAATTTCCAGGAAAGTGTTCTGATGGATTTTTGTATTGTTTTGAATCCATCTTGTCCCATCCTACAGTATGTACAATAATGTTCTCATGGCTTCAAATGGGAATCTTCTCTGTTCAGTAAATTTGCAATCCATGAATGTGTTTCCATAAGGCAGTTTGCCAGCACTTCATGATATTTGAGGCAACAGAGGAGGGGAGGATGAAGGAGGCATTTTACCAGTAGTGACTCAAAGGCAGATACTTTCACTTATGGACTTTTGTCCCAACTGTTCTCCAGAGAAGATTATAGCAGGAAAAAAAACTGTCATTGAAGAAAATAGATTTTATTTGAGCACTGCTTATAGTAGACATAAATTCTTTTTAGGTCTGGCTCATGCATTGTGTTGAGAAATTATTATCCTCAAATTCTGTTTTAAAAAACAGGAAAAACAGTTACTGTGTTTGTGTATGTGCATGTGTTTGTTTTTTGTCTAAAAAGCAGAGCTTTATGTGTATTTTCTTAACAAAAATATTCAGCAAAATGTGTGCTTTTATGTTGCAAAACAAAAGTTGAATGATAAAGGATATAAATATTGTAGGATATAAAAAAACCGATAGCAAAGGAACATTTAGAAACATTTTAACCATAATTACATTGAAGCTTTACTTTGCCCATATTGCTTTGACAAATTCTAATTTATCAGAAAGGAAAGGAGAAAAAATCCAATTTCCCTATCCAGCAGCCACATATTTACAATAGTTCTGTGCATAGCATTTCAAGCAAGCATATCTCCTTCCTTTCCTTTGTGAGACTGAAATCTCAAGAACGTGTGGAGTAACCACTCTGTGCATTAAAGAATTCAATCCCCTTTTTTCATTCTCTCACTGTAAGCAACCTGCCATACCTGCTCATGCAGGTCTGAAAAACAGTTTTCAACTGGTTTTCTCATAATAAGGAAACTTCTGAGTTATGTTTCAGCTTCAGTAAATGCAACCACCCATTTAAAATTCACATCATAGATTTTGCTGTTATTCAATTTTGAGGCAAAGAAAATATAAACTGAAAAAGATGAGAACATCATCCAAAGTTATATGTACAGCACAATCTGCTGACGATGCCTTTTAAAAAATGTATTGCCACTTTACTGGCCTTGAAAAGGTTACAAACAGAAGCACTGTTGTGTAGTTGTTGTTGGGTTTTTTAAAAACAGAATGCTCTAAATTCTGCGCTCAGATGATCGGAATCACTTTTTGTAGGAATCCAACTTGATTTTTTTCTGGGGAAATGTGCTAAAAATGGAGATCACACTCGGTTAGGACCTTTCTGGTTGTTTTTTCAAAGAGCAGGCCTGAGTTTACGACTAATGCTAGATTGAAAAAAATGATTGTTCTATCATAATGTAACATTTCTTACATCTCAGTAAAAGTAAAACAAAGGGATTCATAAGTATAATGAATGAAAATTCAGATTAAGTACCAATCATATAACTTTTGTACGTGGCAGATAAAATTTTGGAAAATCTCTGTTTGCAGCCGCTATAATTGAATGGCAGCATTTATTTATTTACTGGGCCCCTGCTGGCCCAGCGGGTTAAACTGCTGAGCTGCTCAATTTACAGACCGAAAGGTCAGCAGTTTGAATTTGGGGAGTGGGATGAGCTCCTTCTGTTACCCGAGCTCCTGCCAACCTAGCAGTTTGAAAATAGTAGATATATAGGTACCACTTCTGCTGAAAGGTAACAGCACTCCATGCAGTCATGCTGGCCAAATAACCTAGGAGGTGTCTATGAACAGCTTAATGCTTAATGTCAAGGCTTAATGTCAAGGCTTAATGTCAAGAGGAAACATTTTTAAAGCCTCAAAACAGAGTATGGGAACACAAATTACATGGTAAGCATATGGAGCTATGCTTATTCATACATTATTACTTAACTTTATTTTTGGTCTTTCCTGGTATTGTAGTTAGTAGCAGTTTCATCTAATAACCTCATAAGATATGAACATGAGATATGAGCAGCAGAAATTCACTTACCCGTGGTTGAAAAGTGCATGCCTTGCTGGTATCTGGCAGTTACTAGGCAGGAGCTCTCACCAAGGTCCTCTGAGACAATGGAGAACAAGAAAACAAAGCTAAAGCAGCTAGAAGATGGAGGATGCCCTCCCATGTTTGCAGTTTCCAAATAGCTGGTAGATTTAGCCACAGCTTGATAAGATTATTTGAGGGGGACAACAGTAATAAAAAAGAGGAATACCTTCAAGCCTTGGACACACAGTATCTTCTTCTGTCCATACCATTTCACATACATGCATGAAAGTAACTTCTATTCATCAAGTTGATGCCTGTGACCTGGAAGAGTTTGCAGAGGATGTCAACATACAGAGAGTTTCAGTGGTTAGACTTCATAGTTGAATGTGGTCTCTCCTTACTTGGGCTGCTTTTTGGCAAGACTCTTTTGAATTCTCTGACAAATAAAAATCTCTCCGCTTCCGAGATAAAGAAGTGTGATTTTTACAGGTTTAGAAATGCCTCCTATAATGGTAAGCTGAGATTTAAATTGGGTGTTTTTTCTTTGGATTTTTTAGGTTCCAGCAAGATGTGGGGTAACGGTCCGGGAGAGTTTAAAGAAAGCACTGATGATGCGAGGCCTAATTCCAGAGTGCTGTGCTGTTTACCGAATACAGGATGGGTATGGTTTGTGTGCAGCATGGTTGCAGGGTTTGGATGAGAGAAAGATTGCTAAAGTTTAGAGAACATAGAAAAATTATCTTCATATTATAAATACTTGATTTTTCAGGAACCAGCTGTTGAAAACTCACTAGATATCATATATAGTAATAGTTTTGACATTGTAGGAAGAGAGGAGAACCCTTTCTATTGCTTCTGTTCTTATGGTTTCTAAAGAATAGCTGAGAGTGGGTGCTATAGAGTAGCAACTTACAAATTGTTGTATCTTTTGAATCTTTCTCCGAAATTAATCTGAAACTGAATGAATATGTTTTACTTCATAAATACATTATAGACAATTTAGAAAAGTCAGTGCAGTGTAGGTTTAAAGATTGTAGGTTAACCACAAACAGCTTATTTGTATTGTAGAGAGAAGAAACCAATTGGATGGGACACAGACATTTCCTGGCTGACAGGAGAAGAATTACATGTGGAAGTTTTGGAGAATGTGCCTCTTACAACACACAACTTTGTACGTTATCATTTTTGTTGTATTTATAGATTTTTTTAAAAAATGTCCAAGACAGTTAGTGGTCTGGTCTGAAATTTGGTTCCTATAGACAATGAAGAATGAAAAAAGAAGATTGTATAGGATTAAATAGTTATTTTAACACATTATCACCACAACAGATTTTGACAAAGCTATCTGATATTCAAGGGCCCTTCCACACAGCCATATAACCTAGAATATCAAGGCAGAAAATACCACAATATCTGCTTTAAACTGGATTATCTTAGTCCACACTGCCATATATTCCAGTTCAAAGCAAGTAATGTGGGATTTTATTCAGCGGTGTGGAAGGGGCCCAAGTGGGATAGTTTCAAAAGCAAGAACTTTGTTAATTTTCTGTCAGGCCTTCCAAGAAAGGTGACTAAATCTGAATTTGCACATATTGCTGTTGCCTTTCACTGCCCCTTACAACAGCTGAAGGGGTTGGTTTTATTTGGAGGGATTATTGAGGGAGGATGTAACTATATAACAATTACGCTAGTTATCCTAAATATCCCGCTTTAAGATAAAAGCTGCCCTTCTCTTTCTTGTCACATTCATGTTGCCTGTTTCACATCATGGTTATCTTCAGGCTGATGTTATTTACCCAAAGAATTATGGAAATCGTCAGTGACTTGCTTACTTGTCAATAAAGAACAACTCTTTAGCAGTTGTAATATTCTGATAGGAAGATGTAATCAAATGGTAATGTGATACGAGATGTTTAATTACACCAGAGATAATTCCTTCATCATGTGTTTCTGTCTTATAAAATAATGTGATTGGTTATCTCCTGCTGACTGTGCACAGCAGGTAGTTAATAAGCCCTTTCCCAAAATTGTGCATCATTGATACAGGCACTCAGATACAACTGGACCAAAGAAAACAATAGAAATGAAATCTAGTTGAAGCCAATTATTCAGGGACGGGGGTGGGGGGATGGGGTGGGTTCATATGTAATTCTTTGACTTAGGGATTCTAAAACAGAATCTTTATGTCTAACTTGATTAGTTCATGTTTAGCTGGAAGAACTGTTATGACACTCTATAGTTTTGGATAATCACAGTTCTCACAACCAAGTGGATAATTTTGAAAAAGAATAGCATAGATTAAGTAGAAATGAATTAGAATCCAAAATCTTATCTATATTGAGTCTTTATTGCAAGTCATTGATGGTAAATGCAATTAAATGCATTTTAGCTATTAAAATGCATTTGGAAAGTCTCCTTTCTAACATATATGTGGACTTCAGAGTTACACCTTAATGCCAAAAAATTAATATGTTTGATGTTGCAAATAAAACAGCCCAATCTTATTAAACTGGAGTCCTCAAATACTTAGAATGTTGTTTAATGAGAAACATCTCTAAATCGCACAGGGGCTCTAAGCATATTCTCCCTGCTGTGGACTTTAGCTTTCCAACATTTGAAAAGTTGCAGAATCAGGCAGTGGGCACCATGGAGGAAACTGAGCCCCCAAATGTCTGCTTTCTCCTCATTGCATGAATATTTTTATGTCTGAATAAGGGGATATTTTTCCATAAAGTACCACTTGTTAAATGGCAATCAAAATATAAATTAGGAAGTTGTTAGTTTAATCGCCTGAAGGCAGACTCCCAAGCAGAGGTGTGAAAAATCCTAGTTTTCCTGGCATGGAGGAAAATTCAGCTAAAAATCTCACATTTACTTAAGAAACTTTCTTTAGGCATTTGTACTAAATATGCTCTAAATTCTGTTAATGGCACTGTGAGGTGTTCTTCTGTACCTTCAAACATTTAAAAGCAGTCTTGTAATCTTGGCCATCACTGTATTTTAGAACAATTGTTTCCTAGTTAACTTTGACTAAAAAGAACTGGATGTAGCTCTCTTCTTGCAAAGTGATTGTGCAGTATTAGTGGGTCCAGGAGGGCATGGCTTCTCATAACTCTTCTTTTCATGGCATAGGTGAGAAAAACCTTCTTCACTTTAGCATTCTGTGACTTCTGTCGAAAGCTGCTTTTTCAGGGATTCCGTTGTCAGACTTGTGGATATAAATTTCACCAGCGATGTAGTACGGAGGTCCCACTGATGTGTGTGAATTATGACCAGCTTGAGTAAGTAATCAAAACACCTTTGGTTTTAAAATACCCTGGAACTTCCAATGTTTATAGCTGCAGAAGTCCATCAGGATGAGTGCCAGTAATGGTGTGCATGGGGCTGCACAAATGTAGCTGGCTTGCAGAGTCAGACAACAGAACCCATCTCCACTTCATAGTATTGTAGAAGAGCTTTATATGGGATCCATTCTGCTGCATCTCATTATGATGCTTCTCAATAATGACTGTGCCTGTGCTTATCTGAAGTGACACCAAATTGAATTGTGATATGACAAATATGTGAGTTCTTACACCTTATCTAGTATATTTGTTTGCCAGCATGATAGGATTCTACTATCACTAGTCCTTTGAGTCCCATTACATAAAGTAGGATTGTAAAGGGTAGAATGAAAAAAAACTAACAGTACTGTATTTTCTGGTGTATAAGACTACTTTTTAACCCAGGAAAATCTCAAAAGTCGGGGTTCGTCTTGTAGGGTGGGTGCTGAAACTTCTGAGCCAGGCTGGAGAATCTGCAGTTGGCATATATGGTGGGGGGAGCTCAAAAATGGCTGTGGCTGCATCCCTGCCATATGCGGCGACCGTATGAAATCAGCAAGGGCGGTGCTGTACAAGTATGGTAGAAGATAATCCACTCACCAGAATTCATGGAAAGAAGTGACATAACACAGACCCAATGATGAGGTGAGGGGGTGCCTCACCGAAAAGGTGTAAGTGAAGGGCAGAGTAAGCTGCAGGCATCCGGGATGCCCGGGGTATGAAAAAGAGAGAGCAGTGGTGTGCCCAGAAAAATGCATATCTTTCACCTGTCTGGCCCGCCCTTGTATCCTGTTACCATACCTCCTTCTATGCCTCTCAGATCTCATTCCTGAGGACTGCAGTAAAGCGGTGCAGGTGCACATGTGCATGATATGAGAGGCAGAGAAGGAGGTAGGGTAATAGGAACATTACAATATTGAAATTAAATCTGATGTCTTTTAAATTTTATTTGCTGTGTGTTGGAAGAGGGGTAATCTTAAAAGTGAGTATATGCCAAAATCTATATTTTAACTGGAAAGGTTCGGGGTCATCTTATATGCCCAGTCATCTTATACACCAGAAAATATGGTAGTTAAACTGTTGTATGAGACACTGCCGGGTTTAAAATCTATGTTAGTACCAACTGCAAAAAAATCAGCTCACCTGCCACGGTTTGGTTCCATTACTTCCTTGTTAGCAGAATGTTAGTACCCCATGTTCATACGTAGGCGTCTTGTCCTTGGCAATGGAGAAGTAAAAGCAAATTAATTGCACTGAATAACCTTCATTTTTGTTTTTAATGAAAAGCTGTGGGGTTAAAATATAAATCCTTCAAGGGTAACTTTTCAGTGCCTTAATCATCATAAGCATATGGCAGAATACCTAAACGGGCTGATATATTGCTTCGTGTTATTTTCTTACTTTCTTTTTTTTTTTTGCAGAGGCATGTCCTCTATATTAATAATTTTGTTCTGTTTCATTGTAGACCACTGAAGCCATTTGCAAGGCTTGCTTATATGTGGCACGAAAACAGAATAACTTTTTGCTTTGTTTTTTAATTGCAAAGTGTAGATCTTACGCTTGTCAAAATGTTGTGTGTAAGAACCAGTTTAAAATGGATGTGATAATGAACATGATTATGATACTTCTCCTGAAAATTGCACTTCCTTGCTTAAGTAGTTCCCTCCCTCCGTACATGTAGCCACACTAGGGTGCTGAAACATTTTGCATTCCTCTGCTAATGAAAGCAAATCATGAGGAGAAAAGGTATCGAAATGCAAAATATAAAACATAATTATGTGAATAAATATAGCCAAATGTTATGGAAAGAGGAGGAAGGGCACAGGATGCCTTTTTGCCAATAGCCCATTGCAAGTGCAATGATTTTGTTTTGCATCTGATGCACTGATAAGTAGAATAAGTAGAATTTGAGTCCTAGAGGAACCAGCTTTTCTAGCATCTTGCATATACCTTATAAATCATTTATACAAATCATTTATACAAACACTGACAACTACACTGGCCATTTACCTGCACTCAGATTGCAGTATTTTCCCTGCTTTAAATCTGAAAATGTATTATTTGACTTATACTGCTTTCTTCCCCTATCTATTATAATCTGCAGTTTTGTCCAAGTGAGTTTTGTGTTTGTTCCTACCTCACAGTTTGCTGTTTGTCTCCAAGTTCTTTGAACACCGTCCAATATCACAGGAGGCAGCCTCCCTAGGAGAGTCCACCGCTTCATGTGGATCATATTCTTCAGTGGTCCCCTCAGATTTGTCTGGGTATGCTATTAAGTCCTGCTGTTCTAAAAACACTGTCTGAAATGTTTGTTTTGGTGATTCAGCATATGATCTTGCAGATCAGTGTAACCTAGCTGTCATCTGCAAGCAGAGGGGAAAACTCCCTTGTTTTTGTGCTGAAGGATTATTGCGTATTTGTAACTTGTATAAAATTGGGGCACAACTTTTGGTCTTTGCACTGAAGCCTGCTTTCTGAAAGGGACAAAAAAAAGGTTAACGCATTTCATTTGGCTTAATAAACTTAATCAAAATTTTAAAGTGTTTCTACAAGGATTACTTCTTACTCATAATTTTCATTCTTCAGAAGGAGAAGGACTTAGAATTGTTTACTGTAACACTTGTAAAACACATGTTGCCTTTTCCTGATTTATTCTTGTGGACTATATTTTTTTAAATTGTTACTTACCATGTAGGCTGCAACCTGCCATTTAACTATCTGTCTATCTATCTAAGGAAAAGGTAAAGGTTTTCCCCTGACATTAAATTCAGTCGTGTCCAACTGGGGATTGGTGCTCCTCTCCATTTATAAGTTGAAGAGCCAGCATTGTCTATAGACACCTCCAAGGTCATATGGCTGGCATGACTGCATGGAGCGCCATTACCTTCCACAGGAGGAGTACCTATTGATCTAGTCCCATTTGCATGCTTTCGAACTGCTGGGTTGGCAGAAGCTGGGCCTAACAGCAGGAGCACCTCCCTGCTCCCCAAATTCGAACTTTGGGTCAGCAAGTTCAGCAGCTCAGTGCTTTAACCCACTGCGCCACCGGGGGGGCTGGTGTTATACTTGATCAAATTCAAATCTGGTACAGAAAACTCCATTTTCTTGAAAACAGCCTGATTTGGGCAAAATGAGATTATGTAGCGTCACTCTGGGGCTTGGTACAATGGAATGACCTTTGTCATACTCCACATTTTGCTCAGAGGAAAGATTGATTTTTTTGTGTGGCTTTTGTGGCATTAAATCTGTTCATGCCGAGTATTTATGTTGGAGATTCTGAGAAATATAACATAATGTCATGTGTTAACAGGCATATAAAAGGTTAACTTGCTTCCTTCTCATTATGACTGCACCAGTTCCTTCTCTTCTCGCCCCCCACCCCAAATTGGCTATTGGGTGTGGATTTGGATATGACCCAGTTTCTTCCTTATGAGACTTGGCAGTCACTCTCTGTTGGAAACTTTTTGAAATTGTTTAGGCAAAATCCAACAAACTTTGTTCTCTGAGCTATTGTCTATCAGCAGTCTGGAATTATCATTTTTCTTATTGTCTCAGCCAGCAATACTACTACTTTTTCTGTGTGAGATCCTGAGTTGCAGCCACCCATATGTAATATTCCCATTGGATTGTATTGATTTTGCCAACCTCAAAATTTTTCCATTATACAAACAAATCAGAAGAGACAGTTTCAAACTGCCCCCCCCCCATTTGTATCATTTCCCTTTAATTTCTGAAGGAAAATGGTTTTATTTTGTGGAAGATGGTGCACATTATGCTTTGTAATGCCATATAGACAATTACACCTTACCTTAAAGAAAATCTGATGACAATTTAAATAATAGATTCCAAATTTGGTAATTATCTGACTCAGAATATTCTGTTTCTTTCCCCTTTACGTCAAGCACCCCTAGGATTACCATGTTGCCAACACTGTGAACCGCCCTGTGTCTCCTTCGGGGTTGAGAAGGGCAGTATACAAATACCACAAATAAATAAATAAATAAAGTTTATACATTCCATTGTAATATATCCTTAAAATTCCTCACCAGGTATAACAAATCACACCTCCACTACTGGCTAGCTTGCCGAAATATAGAGGGAGAATAGTTGATGAAACCAACTGTATATTTACAAGCTAGAAACTGGGAGCCACTGGAACTGTGAGACTTAAAAGAATTCTTTAAAAGGTTTCCGCTGCCACCATATCACTAAAGAACAGGCTGAGGTACTATTGAGAGGTGGTTTAGTAACACTCTCTGTGTCACTATGGATTTCTTAAAGGCTGTTAAAAGATGACTGGAATAACACTTAGACCACAAAGGTATTCACACTGAGGCTGATGTAAGTTGATAAAAATAACAAGAACTTTTACTTGAACGGACTTGAATATTTCAGGTACAAATGCTTAATAGTTTTAGTAAAGTTCTGGTATCAAAAAGCTTGTGGTTACGTTTGAGAAGAGATCTTAAAAACTTCTGGGTTTTAAGTCTTAAAAGTTACAGCACAGAAAATTACCTCAGGAAATGAATCTCTGGAGGAAACTCCCACACGAAAAAACCCCTTAGGAAACTAGCCAAAACCGGACCTAGCCTTCCTTAAGGAAAAGAACAGACCACTAACGGGGTTCTGTTCCCCACAGTATTCTAGCTATATTTTCTATAGCTATTCTGAATACTATCCAAAAGACTAACCCAAAACTGCTCTTGCTAACGTCCTTCTTCTCTCAACCCTTTCCAAGCTCCAACTCTCAACTGGCAATCTGGGAACTCAAGCCTCAGTTTAAAAGTCACTTTTTCCCCATTCAGATCACTTAGGCTCCGCCCCATCTTCTTAACCAATCCTAGCCTTCTAGCTTTCCCTCCAAGACTAGAACGCGCCCCCTTAAGGCAAACCTAACCTAAGATGGCGTCTCCCTGTCTCCCTTCTCCAAAATAGATGCGGTGGCTTCACCAGGCCCACTCTCCTAGGCCTAAGTTAGCTTGTCAAGGTAAGGGATTCATTACACCAGGCAAGTTCAACAGTATTAAGTCAGATGAGCCAAAGATCTAAGTAGAGCATTTTGCCAAGCTCATTGGATGTGGGGGACATCCTCCTCTTCCGATGCCTCTGGGAGTCAGGCACATTGGATTTAGCTGCATCCAGGAATACTATTTTAGATTTCTCACAATTTAGATTTATCATGTAACATTGCTGTACGGGATGATGGAAGATTTAACATGGCATTATAGCCTCTTAATGAGTCATAAAAAGATGCAGCACCATTTAGAGGGAAGGAACAGGTAGATGGGCAGGTCCAGTCTTGTGTCAGTATCAGACTTACAGAAACATGGCAGTTGCCTTGAAGATTCAAATGTTAATGCCAGTTCTGTCTCCGAGGGCAGTTGGATGTGTGGAAGAGCCTCACCTCCTGATCACAGCCGACTTGTAGTCGTATGGGTGGTGCCTGTTTTCACTTTTTCTGCAAAATAATTGGAAAATCCTGCAGACCTTAATTGCATTTTTATGCGTTTCTGTTCTCAGGTCAACAGTTCTCCCTAGTCCTTCTCCTTCAAAATCCATTCCAATACCCCAGCCTTTTCGACAAGGAGATGAAGACCATCGGAATCAGTTTGGTCAACGAGACCGATCTTCATCTGCACCCAATGTGCACATCAATACAATAGAACCGGTCAACATTGATGTAAGTTGTAATTTAAGCTTTATTTCTACAATCAGAGTGCATCTTGCCTTCTCCTGTACTACTTTAGGCAGGGATGGACAAGAAATGCTCCATAGACTTCACCCAGCTTCTGAGTTTTTCTCCTTTTTTATGTAACAGAGATCACTTGACTTCTTTAAGTCTTTCACAGTTGGGGGAATAAATTGATATGAGAGATTGGTGTGCGAATTTCTTGGCCCAGGGAGGGTTTTGAAGGTACAAGGTTGTCTGTTGTGGAACCTGGGAAGAGAAGCCCCCCTGAAATCATCTTGGGGGTATTTGTCAAATGGAGTGATGCAATTTCAGGAACATCCATTACCAGTGTCTGATTGGCAAATTCACCAGTTAGTATTCCTCTTAATACCCATTTTGAATCTTCACCTCTCATGCACAAAATCGGAAATCTGGGTTGAAGTCAACTATGCACATTTTGTTCCTAATTTTCATGAGCCCTGTTCTAAGCTAGCAGATGGTGGCCATGACTATGCAGATGGGTGAGTTGCATTTGGTTGCTACCAACCCAGAGCCTTCAGAATGGAAGTGATAAATACAGAAAGAGTAATCCCCTCCCAGATTACTTGCCAGCATTGAGTAAATTCTCATTAAGACAATTCCAGCTATTTCACGTGCTTTAATTATAGCTTAATGGCTGCAAATATTCTATACAATGCAGATAGATATCTTTCAGGGTATTAGATAGACATGCTAAGCCATTTCTGTAACACAAAGCCTAATGTAGCTGGTGGGAGCCCTTGTATGCAGTCCTGTAACTAAAAATGCTGCCTTTTAATTTTTAAGTCAACGTACAGGAATAGCAGTGGATTTGGTACTGTGAGGTGCTACTCCCACGGCATCCTCTAAGATAGTATTAACTTAATGTTGTCATTTCCGCTTTGCCTGATAGTTCCATATTACTGAGAAGCTTGCTACTTGTCCATTAATGGAAGTTGGTCCATAAGCTAACATCTCTCCTATTTAACACTGCTAATTGATTATCACTGTTTTCCCTGTACCTCCAATCAGTAGTCTTTACTTTTCCTCCTTGCTCTGTAGAACAATGTTTTAAGAGTATCTGTTAAAGCAGAACATGTATTTGGCATCATTTCCCAAGTTGCTCCTTGACAATTAGACCCAGAAAAGCAGAAGCAATCTTGTTGGGGTGCACATGTATTGGCAGGCAAGTGGTCATTTTGCCAGTTAATAGTAAAGCATGCTGTATATACAGCTGCTGTTAGTATGCATTTTTAAGCAACATCATATTTCTACTATGTCCCCTCTCCTAATAGTGACAAGCAATGTCAGTAATGCATGAATAAGGTGCATACAGTTTTGTTTTTGGTTTGTAGGACTTGATTAGAGATCAAGGGTTGCGAGGAGAGGGAGGTAAGTAAATTTGTTCTCTTGCATACAAAATGCATTGCTTTGCCTCCTCCCCTTTATACTACCTCTTTTTGCAAAATACAGACACAAAGAGAAATGTAAACATAATAATGAAAGTTAGCTACACTTGCCTGTCCATGACATTTAGAATTTAGCTGATAAAAGTTTCAGTGATACACATTTAATTGTGAGATAATGGGGGCGGGGGGGGGGGGGGGGGGGGGGAGATGATAGCATGCAAAGTGGTAGCCAGTAGTTTTTCTTAATACATAACAGTAGGAGATAAAATGCCTTCAGTTTTATCCTGCCTTTATTTTGTCCTAAACCCCCAAACCTGTCACTTTTCTGCCTTGATGTACAACAAAGGACTATTTTTAAGGACCTGTAACTCAATGCCATTTCTCAGCAAATTACAAAAAGTGATAACTCCCTTAGAATAATGTAGGAAATCCCTCTAGTTTTCAAAGCAAAACACAAGGTTTGATATGCATTATAGTTGAAAAGGAAACATGTATTTCTGGTCTATTCATCTTCACCACAACTGTAACTTTTCTGGTGTTTTTGTTTTTTTAATCGTGTCAGAAGCGACTTGAGAAACTGCAAGTCACTTCTGGTTTGAGAGAATTGGCCGTCTGCAAGGACGTTGCCCAGGAGACTCCCAGATATTTTGCCATCCTGTGGGAGGCTTCTCTCATGTCCCCACAAAGGAAGCTGGAGCTGACAGACAGGAGCTCACCCCATCTTGCAGATCCGAACCGCCGACCTTCAGGTCAGCAGATCCATCAACACAAGGGTTTAACCCATTGTTCCACAGGTCCTGGTGGTGAAAGATGTACATCTTGAATTGATTTATAACCTAAATCAGTTTAAAAAGATGTTGACCAACTTTTAAAAGATCCTCTCCGCTGAATAGGGCAGCAGATTTCAGCCCCCCCTCCATTATCTTTTTATGAAACTTTGTCTCTAGAAACATTGGTTTTATTCTTGTGTACAAATTTAACTGAGTTCTTAATTGGTAAATTGATTAAGACATTTTGAATTAAGCAGTGGACATCAGACTTACCCGTTCCACCTACTTGCAGTTTTAGAGATGGGTGTCACATTTACGGTGCAGGGAACTTGAATCAGTGTTTCATGAGTGGATGCAGTTCTTTGCAGAGATAAACTTCAGTAGCAAAAGCCGTCACTGTCTATATGTGTATTTTTCCCACCCTGTGACATACATGCCTTTGGTGGATGCTGCTGCCACTGCTGTAAAACCTGTTTGGAGTAGATCTTCAAATGCTAACTGGCTGCTGGTGTTCATTAAAGCTTTTGACTTGGCTCTTCATCATTTGAGCGTGCAGTAGGGACTTTACCATGTAACAGAGGAAAGCATGTGTCCTTAATCAGCTGGCCTTTTTGCTTTCCATGGCTTCCTTTATGGTCCCCCCCCCCCTCCTTTTTAACCCATTTGCCTATGACTTCACTTTCCTTAAGAGTGATTTGTCTGAGTCAGGATTTTGTTTCCTCTGTGTCACCCTTGCCCCCATGTTACATTTAATGAGCTGGCTACTACTTTGCAAATGTGAGGTCCAAAGTGTAATCTAAAACCATGAACCTTGCCCATTTTGAATATCATGTATGTGTGGGTAGCTGTGGCTTTTGAACAGTTTTGCCCATTCTGTCCCACATTTAACTGTTGTGTACAATGATGTCAGTTTACAACTTAGTCAATTAGCTCTCTGCTGGGCATCTGATGACATGTGGCAATTTCCAATCTCACGGACAATTGCTGTTCCTTTTTTTGGGGAGGGGGGATTAAAAGAAAAAATGGGGATTCGCCCCTGCAAAGTCATAAACAATCTTATGCCTAGGAGTCAAAGCACCTTAGTTATGTCCCATGACTTTCATTTCTTCTGTGTGTCTGTCTTCCTGTCTCTGCCTGCCCGTCTCTTTCTCTCTAACAGCCCCTATGAACCAGCTGATGCGCTGCCTTCGGAAATACCAATCCCGGACTCCCAGTCCCCTCCTCCATTCTGTCCCCAGTGAGATAGTGTTTGATTTTGAGCCTGGCCCAGTGTTCAGAGGTAGTTGGGCTCTTCTTTCTCGTTTTCACCCAAATCAAACTAAATAAAACCACAGATGCTGTTTGTGCTTCACCCTCACAGCGTGTGTATGTAAGTGTGTGAGTTTATCAAAACACTGTCGGGGTTTTTGTTGTTGTTTTGGCTTGGCCTGGCTGGAATGCTTTGAATGTGCTTTTTTTTCACTCACCCATTTTCACTCACCCTTATTAAACTCACAGATTATTCTATGTTGGACATCTAACATAAGTCTTCTAGAGCAATACCTTGTAGAGATGACATTTCCATGCTGCCTTTAAAAAGAGTTGCTTGTTGTAAGCTTCAGTTGCAGTGAATAGAACAGATTCTGTGTCCATTTAAAATCTGGAGAATGTTACATACCTGAAAGAGATTCCTCAGACTAGGGCTGCCAACTGATGCAAGGAAGACATTGTGGCCTGTTCTTTTGTATATAACAGTAGGTTCATCTTTCCCAAATCAGCAGGTCAAATGTTATCTGGTATGGAAATAAACATTTTATACTGTATCAGGATCTACAGATCAATGTTCTATTAGTTATAAGAGGGAATTTCAGTACAAAAGTTGGCAGTCTTACCCTGGATTCCGTAAAAACCATTCTCTTATACCTGATCTTTTATGGATTTTAGGAGTTTGAGAAATATTCAGAAATTCTCCTGTCCATCATTTTTATCTTAATGCTTTGATAGAGATTTCCTAATTTAACACTATCTTTCAAAGTATAGTTGCTTACAATTTAATTAATTATCTGGCATATGATTTATTTTTATAATACTGTAATTTGAGGCTGTGACTAATCTGGATACTAATGGAACGTATTACAGCACACTACAAGTGTTTATTAATTTGTACACTAAAACGCAAGAAATTACTATAGTGAATGCTACAGCACGTAAGATTATATTCCAAATATAGTCATACTTTGAATAAATCATTAGAATCACTAAGGTATTTGGGTATGACTAGCAGCCTGCGGATTTACATGGGTCATAAAAGCAACCCAAGTGTTCATAGGCAAACTAGGGCCATGGTCCTCTACAGAATATGTTCAGAAATACTTTTCTCTCTGCTAGATTGCTTGTTTAATTCGAACATGAGACACTGATATAGTAGCACACAGTTAGTATAAAGAATGTTTTATAAAGAATATAGTATAAAGAAAAAACTCTGCAGTTTTTTCTCCATTTGCATCAAAAAGTGTGTCACCTCATTCATTCAATAAAAGTAACAACTAAAAAAGAATAAAACCTCTTTACATATAGTTTCATATAGAAAAGAGAAGATTAGATCAGAACAAGATTTCGAAGGAGAATTCTAATTTTTCAACTGGAAAATTGTTTTTAGTATGAAGGGCATTTCCTGTCCTATGAGATATGAGACAAAAACTCTATAGGCTGCAGGAGAAAAACTGAAAGTATTAGTCTGCTACAGTGGCAATCATGCTAATCCTAAAGACTAAATAATTACAAATTTAACATATACTATAGTCAATATTTATTTATCTCTTTCACCACTATCTGCACTTCTAATCTTAGACTTCTGATACTTTGTAATCTAGATTAAAGTTTTACTACCGTGGTCTCAAGTGAATATGAGAGAGTACTTTTTTCTAAGTCTATCTTTTCTTGTTTTTGCAATGCAAGTGAGATTCCATAGCAAAATATAATTTCTGCTTGGCTGCTACTACTTTGACAGAACTTTTTCAACAGCCACGGGAGCAAAATATACCATGTCTCTGTGGTCCATCCTAATACACAGAATCTCTGAAAAGCCATACAGACTTCAACACAAAATATAGCTGTTTATGGGTTCTTTAGTTCATGCCCTCCTTTTTAAATATTATGGACAGCAGTTAGTCATAGGGCAGGCTTTTAGAAGAAATAAGCAGCTTAAGTGCTATTGTAGTGCTATGTTGGTTTCAGTCTGTGTATGCTCAGGTGGACATGAATTATACATTAATAATGTTTCCCCTTAACTTTCAAAGCTTTCATTGTAGCATTGAGAAAAACCAATCCAGGGTAGCAGGAAAGACTAACTTTAAAAAGTAAAAATAGTCAAAAGCTCTCACAAGCTTGCAAAATTGGACTTTACCATTTTTTTGGATCCTGCCAAAAAAGATCTGTTTTAAACTTTCCATTGGAGTCCATGGTGGTCGCATGCCCAACTATTGTCAGGTTCCCAAAGAGTTAGTGGAAGCAAGCCTAGAAAATCCATTGAATTAAATTAAGTAGTCTGAAGTTTCTTCTAAAAGTTAGGCAAACCTAATATATTTTGATTAGCATGTTTTTCCCTGTATAAAGAGACAGTGAATATAATCAAAACAAATTTCACTGTGCTTTAGGCTATTCATTTCAGTAGGGCCAAAACCCCAACTAATATCTTTTCCATTGTGTCCCAATACTTTTTTAAATAATTTGGCAACTAGTTAGAATATAGGGTGTAATTATTGCTGTTGATAGACCGTGTTTGTTCCTCTCATGATATAAAGTCCCCATCCTAATCTCACAAGAGGTCAGTATATAATTTATAATTGAATTAAGTGAACTTGGATTGCACTGTGAAGCACAGGATTTTGCACTTGTTTTCTAAGGCTTTATACTTAAATTTAAATGCCTTTTGATGTTTGGAAAGATTGCATCTGTAGCACAATTTCTGCTCTTACTGTTACATGAAGTAAATCCACTGGACATAATTAAAATTTCAAAAACCCAGAAGTATTTTTGACCTTTAATCTCAAATATAGGCTCAACCACGGGTTTGTCTGCTACACCACCTGCATCTTTACCTGGCTCCCTCACCAAAGCATTACAGAAATCCCCTGGGCCTCAGCGAGAGAGGAAGTCCTCCTCATCGTCGGACGATAGGACCAGAATGGTAAGGTTACACGTATTTTATTGAACCACCACCCTGTGTTTACCACATTAGAAGTCTGGTAGGACTGCTTTATCTCTTATCCATGATTTAAAAAACAGAAGTGTCCCACAGCCATTGTTTTGAAATTAAACTACAGTAAAGACTCATTCACTTATGGTGACCTTCAAGGGCACATGGTTGCTCAAGGGGGAATGCAAGAATTTTTATTTAAATTAAAATATTACAGTTGGCACTTAACTTTCACTTTCACTAAGAAACATGGATCTCCCCAAAAGTGGGGAAAAGTGTGAATATCTCTAGGGCCTGGATGCATACATATTTCCTCATTCATTCACTTGGGTAGTAGGGGGGAAAGGGGATGGGATGGAGCAGCACAAGGAGGGAAGGCACCCATGCCTCCCCTGTTGCTTGCCATTTTATTCCCTCCCTCCTCCTCTCCCCACTCTCATATACTACTTGCAGAATTTCCCTCCTTTCACAGTGCAGACTGTGTAATCCTAGGCACACTTAGGACACAACATCATTGTGACACCTTCTTGTATGGAACAGGAAGATGGGGAAAAAGGAGATATTGAGAAAGGCAATTTAACCGTGATATGGTAGGAATCATATTTATCCAAAAGACTAATCAGACAGAAAGGGAGAGAGGATGGTGGAGAAGAAAAAGAAGAAGGGACCAAGAAAGCGGGTAGGGAAGGTAGACTTTGTGCCTTACAACAAGGTCTTAGAACAGACAGAAAGATTTCGAGCTGAAGGCTTTCTCAACATATGTGAAATAGAAGGCTTTCTCAACGTATGTGAGGGCGGCAGCAGGAGCCTCAGGGCTTGGAAGAAGTGGGTGGATGGAGAAAGTATTGGATGGGTAGGGGAGAAAGAATCTCTGATAGGCTCCTTGTGCTAGCTCTTGCACTTGCTCTTTCTCCTGCCCTCTTTCCATTTTTCCTGTTTTGCTACAGGCTTCCTTGACTTCTTTCTTTTGCTCTTTTCTGCCTGCACTCCCCTTTCATCTTGATTTAGTCTCAAATAAACATGACTGCCTTTCTTTATCTCTCATCTCTTCTTTCTCCTCCTCCTCTTGCTCCTGCTATTAATTCAAGGAGGTGGGTTCCCAAGTGTGAGTTGCAAGTTTGGAATTAATCATGAGTAGCAAAAATGTTAGCAGTATATGTCAAATTCTCCACTTTAAGAACACTTGTTAAGAAAAGACTATAGATATGGATTTATTATTGAAGTTCCTTTTCTTGCAGAAAACGCTTGGTCGGCGAGACTCAAGTGATGACTGGGAGATACCAGATGGCCAGATCACAGTTGGACAAAGGATAGGATCTGGATCATTTGGAACAGTCTTTAAGGGAAAATGGCATGGTATGTAATTGCTGAACTTGGTTGTTTTCTTCTAAAAAGGAGGAGGAAGATTTTTCCCCCCTTTTCATGCTCTCTGAGACTCACAGAGAAGGCCATGATCAGAACATTATGAAGCTGAGTCACTTTTGGTGGAAACCCAGCCCACACATTCTCAGCATGTGTGCCTGAATATATCACAGTAATTCCCCTTTGGTGACTTCTTGACTATTGCCAGTGCAGACTCGTGAAGATAGTTTTCATTCAGCTGAGCTTTTGTTCAGAGTGCTGAGTAGTTTCATCTTTCTCCCCTTGCTAATTATTGTTTGTCTTCATGGATAGCTGTATTTTATTTCCTTTTTTCCAGACACCTTTTCCCATTCTGATGAAGGTCTTGCCCTGAAGAGTGCATGATCTCTATGGTTTCATTTAAAAGGGTCTCCCCTGTAAGGGAAATATTGCACCTTTTAATGGAAATTCCATGAGCCTCTTTTGCCTTGGAGAGAGGAATCTGCTTCTTCTAATGGCCAGCAATCTATTTTTATTGTGACACTGGTATTACAATCAAAGAAATTCATAAACAAAAACATCTTCATATGACAAGTGTGATTCCTCGGTGATCTGTCCTGGGTCTGGTGTTGTTAAATATCTATATGAATGGCTTTTATGATGAAATAGAAAGCATGCTTAAAAAATTTGCAGGTGGCACTAAATTAGGAAAGGTAGCTAATGTTCCCTAGGTCTACTATTCTAATGGCACCAGATCCCATCTGATCTTGGAACTAAACAGGGTAACCCCTTTTTAGTACTTGGATGTGAGACCATAAATGAATACCAGAAGCTGTAGGTTTTCAGTATTCCTTGCTTAAGAAAGACCTATGCAATTCATGGGGTGGCCATAAGTCAACAGGTAACTTGGAGATGTGCAGCTCTGGAAAACAAGCCTTGTGAGGAGCAACTTAGAAAGCTGATATTTTTAACTTGAAGAGGACATTGAGATAGGACATGATAGTTCATGAATGTTACATAGAAGATGGAGCTAGCTCCAGAAACTGAAGCATGAACCAAATGAATTCTAATTACAAGAAAAGCAATTTCACCTTTACATTAGGTTGTGTTTTTTTTTTTACAGTACCAGTTAGACAGTAGTCATCTTGTAGGAGTACTTTTGTTTTACTCCATGGTAAGGAGTCGGAAGGGGCCACAAGGACCATCCAGTCCAACCTCCTGCCATGCCGGAAAATTAAAACTCTCTTACCATAAGTTGATCCAACCTCTGTTGGAAGACCTTCAATAATGGAGATCCCACCAGACAAATGTATTCCATTGTCTTAACTGGTACAGGGGAAAACATTCAGGTTCAGGAGAACTCTTTATCAGGCATGATTATACAAAATTAGGGCATGGGGAAAGACACAAAAAGTCCAAAAATCAAAGTTAGTTCACCATCCCACCAACTATAGGCAGACCTATAGTAGTTATTTGGATCATAGACAGTGTATTTTGCATAATGAGAATGTATGGAATAGTGTAACCGTTTCATGGGTGGCACATGTCAATAGTTGAGCTTCATGTTTCTTTTTGTTATTCAGCAATCTGTATACAGCTGTTTTTAAACAATTGCTTTTGAAGGTGATGTTGCAGTGAAGATGTTGAATGTTACAGCCCCTACCCCTCAACAGCTGCAGGCCTTTAAAAATGAAGTAGGTGTACTCAGGTAAGATGGTGTGAATTATGTTTAGCCAACACAGCCAATATAACTTTACCAGAGAAGTTTCTAATCCTGAATGCTTTCTTAATAATGTTTGTGTTTTTCCTAGTTGTTCTCGGGGATATTTTGTCCTGTGCTACAATTCCTATCTGTTCATACTTTTGGTGTCCTCCATTCAACACATACTCATACAATTCTACATTTTTAAACCATGTATTTTGACAGAAAAAATAAAACATTTTCTGCATGCTCTTCACTTCTGCTGTGCTTTTCATGCTCTTTATTTTCTCCCATCTGGCTCTCACTGTCTATTGAGGTTACCTTTTATCTCCATTACTTTCTATAATTTTGAAGTCAAGAAGTGAGTACCAAAGGCTAGCTGTCAAAATAGTCAGTGAGCATCACGGGGACCTTTAGATTTGGGGAAGTGTATTCTGTCTTTTGAAAGAAGACTCTAAGATGGGGTGGAGATTTGCTGCTGTCTGTATGATGTTGGATAGCAACTATCAGCATTCCTTACCATCAGTTATGCTAGGCATGTCAGACCCTCCCCTAAGAAAAACAGTAGTCTAATGATACTTAGCTCATTAACTGAGATAGTGATGATGAGTGAGAACATGCTTTTGTTGCAAAAAAATGGTGATATCACGTTGGTGTCAGAGTACATCAACAAATTAAAGAAAGAAACCCAGGGAAGGCATCAGGAAGTTAGAATGGGGTGTATCTTGGAGCTAAGGATATACTGCAACATTGTGAGTTCTGCTTCTGGCCTTAATCCTATTTTGATCATTCTAGCTATTGCCCAGAATGTCAGTGAGTAGAGAGGACATTAATCCCCTCTGAGAACCTTAAGGTTCATATCAATCAGTGAAAATAATGGGGGAAAGAGTCCTCCTGCATATAATGTATAATTGAATTAGCTCCAATAGGCTTTATTTTTAAAAATGTTTTAAAACTATCCTTCATTCTTGCAGATACCAGTGTGGTGTATAACCATTGAAAACCCCAAAACATGCTGTCAAAATAAAAAAAGAAAGAAAAAAAGCTTAGAAAAACCATAAAATAGATCCGATCAACCATTTACAAAATTTTGTCAAGGAATCTAATCTGACACTGTCTTTCCCTTGACAGCTTCATTTGGTGGTTTTCAATTTTCAGTACACACACCCACCCTTTTCTAACATGTTGAAATGTCTTTCCTAAGGCTTACCTTTTAGTAGGAGGCGGAATTTGTAGACCTTCTCCAAACTTGGATTTGGCCTTCTCGCTGAGCAGTGTTCTTCTTCTTGTCTTAATAACACCTGGTTGGCTCTTATTAGAAACATAGGGGCACTTGTTCAGTAGATAAAAACTATAAGAACTTTTGTCATTTTGTTTGCATAAGATTTCCTGTCCTTTAAATGATGGTAAACCTTTCTTTACTTCTGCAGGAAAACACGACATGTTAATATATTACTTTTCATGGGTTATTCAACAAAGCCACAGTTAGCTATAGTTACGCAGTGGTGTGAAGGCTCCAGTCTTTACCACCATCTACACATCATAGAAACGAAATTTGAGATGATCAAGCTGATCGATGTTGCACGGCAGACAGCACAAGGAATGGAGTAAGTACAACCATCTAAGGTGGAGCAGGGAAACTTGCAGTAGTTCTCTACAGGCTTATCCCTCCAGGATATAAAGTGTTATCTCAGCAGCTTCATAGACATGGGGAAGATGTGAACTTCATCTGTGTACATTAAAAAGACAAAATACTGTGTATACTCGAGTATAAGCCAAGTTTTTCAGCCCTTTTTTAGGCTGAAAAAGTCCCCCTCAGCTTATACTCGAGTCAAGGTTATTTATTGTTTTACTCTGTTGTTGTTATTACTATTATTTCATTTATTATTTTATTCTATGTATTATTATTGCATTTTATCATTTTACTCTATTATTATATATTTATTATTTTACTGTATTTGTTGTTATTGCTACATTCATTATTTTACTCTTTTTTATTATTATTATTATTATTATTATTATTATTATTCCATGTATTATGTTACTCTATTATTATTGGAAGGATACGTAAGCACATTTACATTGAAGAAGGTAAATAATCATTTAATCAGAGTTGGACAGTCTTATCTTAAATTACCATTTTMGTAAATATTCAAAAATATCTAACCTACCGCTTCCTCAATTAATGTAATTTAATTGGTATCTATTTTTATTTTGCAATTTACCCGTCGCGGCTGCATTTCCCACCRTTGGCTTATACTRGAGTCAATCCGTTTTCTCAGTTTTTTGTGCTAAAATTAGGTGCCTCGGCTTATATTCGGGTCGGCTTATACTCGAGTATATACAGTACTCATTTTATTTTATAGATCAATTGCCATTTGTTGGCTGTTCTTCAGAAAATTGGTATATACAATCCTTTTTTTAACTGTTGTACTGCCAAATATAATATACTGCATCGGATTATTATTGGTGGCCCAATAATTTGTATTGTAATTGTATTCATGTTTTTAATATGGTATTGTTCTTAACTGTTGTAAACCGCAATGAGTCACCGACTTCGGCTGAGATATTAGCGGTATACAAGTCTATAAATAAATAAATAAATAAATAAATAAATATAAGAATCTGAGGAATTATCCCCATTGGCGTAAGCATGCTTTAATTCTGCAAATGAAGTCAACATTAACTTTTTAAACAGAGGCTGACCTGAATCCCATCAGCTAGAGATTCAGCTTCTGAACAGTTCATTTGTAGTTCTTGAGCCAACAATGGTGTCAGTGTATTTCATGGCTCCTGGCACTATCCATGACATATTGGCAGGCTAAGCTTTTTACACCCTTTGCAACTATTTGGAACCAAGAGTAAAAAGAAAGAGACATTTGATTAAAATGAGAGAAAAGTAGTTGAGGAGATATTGATAGCATTCAGGAAGAAGAGAGAGGAGAGCGTCACCATAAGTAGCTGCTATTTTGCCAGTTCTATATCTAACAAATAAGTGGCTTGAAATGTTGGACCCTGTAACAATGTATAGTCTGTGTTCCACCATAGGTGTTTCTCAACTTTAAAACCCTTTCTGTAATACTACAAGCAAAATGTACAACAAACTAAATTTGTAATGCCTTATTGTTTTCCAGTTATTTGCATGCCAAGTCCATCATCCACCGAGACCTCAAGAGTAATAGTATCCTTTATATTGCATCTCTGTCAACTTTCTCTTTCTTCTTTTACCAGAGCGTGCATCTGGTTAGGGAAATACAGTTAGACGAATTGCTCAAAATGCTAAACACTTGAGCACTTGTCTGCTCCAGTTCAGTTATTGTAAAGATAAGAAACAAAATATTAATTCTAAATAGCTGCACCACGACATGGTCAGGGATGTGCATTCCGTTCCCGACAACATTGAAGAGAATGAAATATGAATAAGCAGCACATCCATTTGGATCCATAGCCCTGATTTATACATGTAATTTGTTATTCATATATGTGGATAGATATGTGAATTTCCTCTGATTATAGTTATTTGCAGAGCAATGGTGAGAGCTGCTAAAAGATAAATTGAGATTTAATTAAAGACGCACTGTGGACATTAGCTATGCTTTACTTAATGCTACCTCTTTCACCTCCCTTTTATAGGACCCTCTGACATGAAGATTTTTCAGATGTTTCATGCCGTTGCCTACTTGTAGTCAATCTACAATCTACCTTGTAGTCAATCTACCTTAGTATGTTCATTGTGCTTCCCACATCACAATATAGCAAAGCTTGAAAAGATATTTCTTCTGGTATCCCCCTGCATTGGGGCAACCTGGAAGTTATGGTCTTAAAAGTAATTTTTCAGGGTCAGCATTTATAAGAAATCTGTTCAGAAATTCACTGGGTTATAATGTGGATTTTAACATCTGTCGATGTTTCCTTGTTGGAAATTAGGGGTGTTGCTTTTCTATTTTATATCTTTACATCAGCTGCTCAGATATATTTCTTCACGAAGACCTCACAGTAAAAATAGGTGACTTTGGTCTGGCAACAGTGAAATCACGATGGAGCGGGTCCCATCAATTTGAACAGTTGTCTGGATCAATTCTCTGGATGGTAAATAAAGGGGGTATTTATTCATCAAATTGTTTTTTTTCCTTACCAGTCATCCTCTGTGTAATTAGATATCTCAATTTCTTCAATGGCATAGACATTAGGCCTGTGCACAGATCCATTTTCAAAAACGGTATTTGGCAGTTTTGGACAGCCGTAGGCTCTGTCACCAAAAAATTTTTGGTCGCACCAGAATAGCAGCTGTTGAAAACTGGCTGATTTTGGTTTCTTTCAGTTACATATGGGGTGCGAGGATGGAGGCAGCCGCTAGAAGGGAAGGATCGCAGGAAGCAGGGTTTCTTAGCCCTCCCTTCTCTCTTGATTTGGAGGTGGAACCGAAGCACGAGGGGGAGCGGGGGAAGGAATTCTAAGCAAGGCTCTAGTTCTCCTTTCCAGCACCTCCAAAATGAGAGAAGGGGGGGGGGGCTTTTTAAGGAAGTCCAGGGTGGGATACCTCCAGGTTGATCCCTCTTCCTTCCCTGGGAAGCCCCTTTAAAATGTCTTGGAAAACTGCCTTCTTTAGGGAGAGAGCTGTGTGCACCCACAGCTCCTGTCTCCTCTAGAGTATAAACAGCTTTAATGAAGCATGTAATCGAAAATGATTTTTTGCACATGCCTAGTGGTTTCTTAAGCCTGTTGCCTGCCTGAAATTGAGGTCTCCTTGAAAGAAAAGAAAGGATCTCAGCAGGGTTTCTTAAGCCCTTGCCTTAAAAATGTCAGAAAAGTGAGCCTCGTAAGTTCCCCATTGCTGCCAGCGGGCCAGATTGAAAATGGATCTTTCGGTTGCCATACAGATTCTCACCTTTCCAAATTCTGGAAGCTCTCAAAAATGGATCAGAGGCTGCGCTGAAATTCCGGACACAGAAAATGGATTGGGGTTTAACTGAAATGCACAACCCTAATAGGCATACACGCTCGGTCTAGCCTTTACAATTCACTAAAGAAAATGCTTTCTTGTCCTATATAATACATGGAAATCTTGCTTTTGCTGAAGCAGTCCAGTGAAGGTATAATTTCCTCTCTTTCTAGAAAATATAGATTTGTCTTAGTGCTTCGTTTGTATGGTATCACCCCATAAAAGTTTTTTTTTACAATCATATTAGTGGATATACTAAACTTTGGTCAGTTATGATCACTGAAAGGTGATCACACCCTCACCTAAAGCAGTTGATCAGTTTCAGTAACTAGCAATATGATTGCTTAATTTGTATTGAAAAATATTTCAGAACTAAGCTAAAGCATATCTTACAAACCAGCCTCTCTGCATTCTTCTTTAAGAAATAATTTCAGCTTTGGCATCTTAAAGCAGGAGTTGGCAAGAAGTAGATCAGGATCTGCCAGTTGATCTGTGGTGCCAGAGTTAATCAGCAAGCATTACATGAAGTTCCATTGACAGTGATTCAGAAAGCTTTGCAGTGGGGAGGGGAGAGAAGAATGGTGTAGCATGAATGGCAGGCACTACATTTACACAGTTCTGGTACTACATGGATGCAGAGATGTCTTGTTTTATTACCTGTCCTGAGCCACCAATTTGTCACCGGCTCTGGCTGGTGCATTTCAGGGTTCTAACTAAAAATAAAGTAGATTGTAGAACTCGAAGGTCTGTCTAGTGCTGACCAAAGATACAAGAGTGTAGGCTGTCATGGCTATAAAATGGCGTTATTTTCTTCTGTATGTCGCAGGCACCAGAAGTAATTAGGATGCAAGATAAAAACCCCTACAGCTTCCAATCAGACGTCTATGCATTTGGGATTGTTCTTTATGAGCTGATGACTGGGCAATTACCATATTCTAACATCAACAATAGAGACCAGGTAATGCAGTCACATTTTTGGAGAGACTTAACTTTCTTAATGACTTATGGTGTGTGTTTTCACATTATCTTCCCAAAAGAGTGGTGTAAACTGGTAAGAGTTGTATAATTCATTTAACTCTTTCTCTCTGTGTATATATATCTGTGTGCAAATTTAAATTAATTACAGTGTTTATGGTTGTGTGTCCATTTGCTGTATAGAGAAGAAATGAATGAACTAAGCTCAGGGTTTGTTATTCTAGCAGGAAAAATAGAGGAAGAACAAAAATAAAGGAAGTGAGGATAGCCTTCAAGGAGGGACTTAAGGATACGGGTCATCTGGAACAAGTTCAGAAGCTAGAAGATATGAAGCACTTCATTTAGTCCTCTAGTAGCCAGAGATTTTAATTTTAAACCCACTGTCCTCCTTTCCTTACTAATATCCATGTTTTCTGTAGTTCAAAAGCTAAGATTATTGCAGGATATTAGCTTTACTGTTACATAGTTCCTGGCATTTGAGAAAATTCCTTATGCCCAAAGACTATGCCCCTGTGGAGGAAATGAAATAGAAACAATAGAACACATTTGATTGCAGTGCTGCTACTGCACAGTTCAATGCAGCCAACTTTTATATCCAATCCTGTCCCGCATGACCAGCTACCCCCTGCAGAGGATTGTTAGATATCTTTTAGGGGATAAGTGCCACAGGTGTGTCTCATAGTGGCAAAATTCCTCGCAGTGGCAACAAGACTGAGAAACCAAATAACCTCCAATAGGGGAATTACTTGAAACCATGTAGATGTGTTTTGTACAACAGACTTCTCCTGAGACGGGAGAATTTATAATGACTGTTGGTTTTACTGATGGGTCTATGGAGCGTAATAACATTGTTGTTGCTGTGCTGACATTTGAGAGGTATTATCTCTATTTTTAAAGGGTTTGTTAGCTTTCCTACATACATCTTCAGACATTTGCATTATGTGAAAATAGGTTACAAAACTGTTATTCCTGCTAAAAATGAGCTTCTTATTTCATGCATTGCAGTTTGTTGTTCTGTCCAGCTTTTTGGAGAAACAGCAGCACATACTTGCTGTTAGAAGAGCTCTTCAGACTTATAACTTGAGCACAAAATCTTTCCAATGTTGTTTTTGAGACTTTTTTGTTTCTTTTCTACCACCATTGGTAGAAAACACATAAAAAAGCCTCAGAAAAAAAACATTGGAAAGATTTATTTACATTGGTGTGAATAAAAGTTTCACCTGCACTTCAGCCAGGTTTTTGGAAAACCTACATTTTAAAGCATGCCAGACTCTTAGATTGCCAAAGTAGTAGAGCAATCGTTCATTCCACCTGTTTGGCAGCAGCAGCAACAACAGCTTTTTCCATGAACTCCCTCTAATGGAGGAGAGTGGCAGGATAATGACATGGTCTAGTATAAACCCCCATGTTTTTCATAGTCTGGATTCACATTTACCGGCTATTATAAGTGAAGGGCAGTTTGTGGTAGAAGCGTCCTAGAGTTGATAGTTCTTTCACAAATGGCAGTTCAGTAACCACTCCTCCCTTGTCTTCTTCTTAATGTAGACACATACAATTTCTGGGTGACTTTTTCATTACAGAGCAAGAATTATGTGTTCTGCTTCCCTTAAAAATTGTGCTGGTCTGGGAAGAGGGAGACTTACAAGCCCAACCTAGTGATATGAAGCTGATTGTCTTCCTTCTTTATTTCACTCCTTGGAGATTTCTCAAACTTGCCTTACTGGTTTCATCTATGAAAGAAACTAGAGGGCACTTTAGGGATTCATGTACTTAAAGCTAGCATATTTGATTATCGAACCCTTTGCCCTGTGGGCAGCGCCAGCAGTAATCCCATGCATGGATATAATCTTTGCAGAAAGAACATAGTTTTATCATAAATTTACTGCACATGATTTATCTATTTTTTGGATTGCTGTGAGTTTTCCGGGCTATATGGCCATGTTCCAGAAGCATTCTCTCCTGACGTTTCGCCTACATCTATGGCAGGCATCCTCAGAGGTTGTGAGGTTTATTAGAAACAAGGTAAGTGAGGTTTATGTATCTCTGGAATGTCCAGGGTGGGAGAAAGAACTCTTCTCAGTTTGAGGCAAGTGTGAATGTTGCAATTGGCCACCTTGATTAGCATTAGAGGCCTTGTAGCTTCAAAGGCTGGGTGAGTGCTGCCAGGGGATCCTTTGTTGGGATGTGTTAGCTGGCCATGATTGATTCTTGTCTGGAATTCTCCTGTTTTTGAGTGTTGCTCTTTATTTACTGCCCTGATTTTAGAGTTTTTTTAAAATACTGGTAGCCAGATTTTATTCATTTTCATGGTTTCCTCCTTTCTGTTGAAATTGTCCACTTGCTTGTGGATTTCAATAGCTCCTCTGTGTAGTCTGACATGGTAGTTGTTGGAGTGGTCCAGCATTTCTGTGTTCTCAGATAATATGCTGTGTCCAGTTTGGTTCATCAGATGCTCTGCTGTGGCTAACTTCTCTGTTTGAATTAGTCTGCAGTGCTTTTCACGTTCCTTGATTCGCATTTGGGCGCTGCTTTTGGTGGTCCCTATGTCCACAACTGGTAACTGGTCCCTATATAGACTTGTCCACAGCTGCATGGTATAGGGTAGACTCCTGCAGAGGTGAGAGGTTCCCTCTTGTCCTGTGCTGAACGTAGCATTTGTTGGATTTTCTGTAGATAGTTTGTAGGTTGTGTTTCTTCATCAGCTTCCCTTTGTGATCAGTAGTTCCCTTGATGTATGGTAAGAACACATTTCCTCTGGGTGGATCTTTGTCTTTACTCTCATGGCTTGTTCTTGGTCTTTCAGCTCTTCTGATGTCTGTGGTTGGGTATCGGTTGGTCTGTAGAGCCCAGTTTAGGTGTTTCAGTTTACCTTGGATGAGGTGGGGTTCACAGATTATTTTTGCACAGTCTATCAGGGCTTTAATTCTGCTTCTTTTTTGACTTGGATGATGATTAGAGTTTTTATGTAGGTATCTATTGTTGATTGGGTTTGTGGATGACTAGGATATCTAGAAATGGCAGTTTTCCTTCGTTTTCTTTTTCCATGGTGAATTGGATGTTTGTGTGTATACTGTTGAGGTGGTCCAGAAACTTGTTCAGTTCTTCTTCTCCATGGCTCCAAAAGTGAAGGTTCGGCCAGATGTGGGCGAACGGTCAGGAGAGAATGTTTCTGGAACATGACCATACATCCTGGAAAACTCACAGCAACCCAGTGATTCTGGCCATGAAAGCCTTCGACAACACATGTCTATTCCTCTCTCTCTAAGGTATGCTAAGCTACATTTGGTTTACCTTCTAATACAGGAAAAAGCCCCTAAGTCATTGAAGGATGACCTTAAAGGATTCCAAAACTTCAAATTCTGTGCAAACCTGCACTTCCCAAAAATGTCAGCTTTTTAGGTGGAATTGCTCTTTTTCACCAGTCTTAACATATAGACAGATTTAACATGTGATATACATTTGTTTGATTTTTTCTTTTAATTTCCACTTTTCCCTTGTTTTCTTTCTCCAAACAAAGATAATTTTTATGGTAGGGCGAGGCTACCTCTCTCCAGATCTCAGCAAAGTAAGAAGTAATTGTCCCAAAGCAATGAAACGGCTAATGGCAGAATGCTTGAAAAAGAAGAGGGATGAACGACCCCTCTTCCCACAGGTAAGCAGTATTCGTAGTTTGCTTTATAGGAGTAGCTTCATGTTTAGTGATAAATTCAAAGAGATATTGTGTCTGTGTGGGATAATATGGATCTGCAAATATGGATCTACAAAAGTAAGAGCCAAAATCACCTCCGAAGTTCATGCGAGCAAATTACAAAGGCTATTTGAGGGTTTGGGGGCATATGGAGAGGTCTGAACTGTTCTGCTGGCTTTGTGGCAGGGGATAGGCCATTTACTGATCTTGCTTCTTCATATTCTTGTTGCTTTCTCATTATCAATTTGTATTTGAACAGCATTAAAAAAAACCATGGTCACACACATATCGGACTGCTGTTTCAAATAGAACTCTGACTAACACTGTGTATCCCTTCCTTCACCTCCAAAAATGATCGTAAGTGATATTAGGCTTGCTAGTGTCCTCTGGGGCCATTCTGAAAGGAGATATGTTGGTGTTGAAGCAACTTTTTGGGAATTATATAAATTTATAATTATTTCACTGTCCCCATCCCAAAATACAAACTTTTTTTTCTGTTTCAGCTTCTTGCCTCTATTGAGCTTCTGGCCCGGTCGTTGCCAAAAATTCACCGCAGTGCATCTGAGCCCTCCTTGAACCGGGCTGGTTTCCAGACAGAGGATTTTAGCCTATATGCTTGCGCTTCTCCAAAAACACCCATCCAGGCAGGGGGATACGGTGGGTTTTCTGTAAGCTGAGCAGAAGTTGAAAGTATGTCCCCATGTTTTGAGTGTGTGACCTTGTCTTCACACCTGTTTCAGATGCCAAGTTAATCTTTATTTTGGGGGAAGTGCATTGACTGAAAAAGGACTTATCTCACACTGAGCCTCCAGTATTCCCAGAATGGTATCTGTTGCTGGCAATGGACCGCCTATTAATTGCTTAGTGGGAAAAGGGAAAAATTGTTGAAAATTAATATACACCCATTTATCTTTGGGTCATAGGTCAAGCTTTTTTTGGTGTCATCTTTGTTTATAGGTTAATTTGGTTTATAAGTGGCTAGCAGAGTTTTACATCCATATCTCAAGTAGTTTCCTTTTGTTCCTGCAGTCTTTGTCATATGCTAGCAACAATTTTCAATGCACAAGCCAGCAGCCTTGCTGTGCTGACAGTGTATAAAAGAATAAGACAAAATGTTAATGCTGGGTGCCTATGTCTCCTTAAATGAGGAGAGCAAGCTTCATTTAACATAAAGAATTTGCCAGGAGTTAGCTTCCTTTATGAACTTCTTGCTAATTGGAAATTGCTGTTTACTTTGAGCTAAGTCTTCTTTTGCTTATTTTTTTCTTTGTTGTTCTTTGGGAGTGAAATTAAGCATTTCTTTTTGTTGTCTCTGTTTAGCCTACTTCTAGTTCAATATCTCGTTCATCAGTTTGAAATTATTGCTGATTTCATTCCATTGCAGACTGCCTAAGGCAGTGGATCTCAACGTGTGGGTCCCCAGATGTCCTGGCCTTCAACTCCCAGAAATTCTAACAGCTGATAAATTAGCTGGGATTTTTGGGAGTTGTAGGCCAAAACATCTGAGGACCCGCAGGTTGAGAACCACTAGCTTATGGTGTGGAACTGGACTTTGTTTGACCCAACACTCTAGGAAGGCCCTTTTTAAACATGATTTAGCCCATAAGTGGGGGGGGGGGGGTGTTTTGTAAAAGCAGAGAGATAAACATTTACAAAAGTCAACGGCTTGCTGCTATTGCTCAGTTTTATGTGAATTCTTATATCTTCTGAAGTCTCCTTTCTGTGGAGGAAATGCTTCACGCTTATGTATGACATTTATCTAGTTAAGGTGCAAATCGCCAGAAAAGCAATCTGGAAACCAAAGGTCCTGAAAGAATATACTTTTTACATTTTCTCTGTTGCAACCATGCCATTTTATTTTCTCTTGAGTTAATCTATTTTATTGGTAAACCATGGTATGATTTGCTCCTCTTGGTGTTCTTCTTACATTGTAAAATGTTGCCCATGCTGGTATGGGAGATTTAGCTATTCACTTTATGTAAAAAATGAGTTGATAGAACCTCGTTTTCTATGTTTTGTTTTCAAATACATAAAATCGGAGTTCCTCTAGAAGGTAGTTTACAAATGGCAAAACAAATGGCATCTAGATTTAAAGTTTTCTTCCCGTTTTAATATGCTATTTACTAAAATGTCCAATACAACCAATTCATTAAATATTTCAAATAGTGTGAATGGGAGCTTTTAATACTGTGATCCGTTGAAACCAGTTAAATCATCTAGCTCTTGGTGCAGCTAATCATCCTAGGATAGGAAAGAACGCAAGGCCCAGCATTAGCAACCAGTACCTACAGGCAGCTGCTGGATACACATCATCTCATGTCCTATAGACTGTCATTTAAATTTCCACCAGAGCTACTTATCTAAATATATAAAAGCAAAAGTATGTGTGTATGTACATCAAAGGCTCCTACATGGCTGGGTGGATCTGGACCAAACCTGGTACACATAATCTTTCATTATCCAACTGAAAATACAAAGGCAAAGATGGAAGAGAGGTGGAGAAAAGAGTCCTTAACATGGCAAAACTTGGGCAATAACTGTGCTGAGACGCTGGGTACTGGAACTGAACATTAGTTTATGTTCCCTGCATTTCGCAGGCATGCATGTATTGGGAAAGGAGGCAAAACAAGTCTCTGCCTGTCTGAGAAAGCGGGGATGTGTCTTGGAGCAGGCTAGTTGACACAAGTGAAGGTAGTTGACACACGTGAAGATGGAACTCACATCTCCCCACCAACTGAAGAGATCCATCTCTGTACTTGTTGAGTTTCAGATAGCAGTCTTCCAGATATTACTTAAAAACTGGTGTTTTACAAAGAGCATGGCCAGAAAATCTTGAAAACTGGCAGCACTAAGAATGCATATGTTTATAGCTGCTTAGCAGTACTGAGCATAAATAGTGATGCTTTGTCCTTACCCAGCAGTGTCGATCATTCAGTAGGCACATGCCTACATTGCATTTCCGTCCTTCCTCCTTAAGATTCCTTCCAGTTTTGAGCACTGGGTCTCACTTTCCCTTGATGGTTAGTAGGTGATGACTGACACCAGCAAACCACCTCAAGTGCAGTTACAGATTTTTGAATCCAGGATAATTTTCACTGTGTTCTCAGTGTTTACTATGTAGAAGGCCTTGGTCATAGCTATGGCTTATGCCACTCCTGCAGCATCAGTGTTCAGTTCAGAGAGTCGGGGGCATTTTCAAGCAGTCAGTTTTCAGATAGCCCTGGAATGCTCATGTTACGGTGGGTTTTAGTATATACTTAATTTTTTCAGCCCTTCAGATTTGAAACAGACTACAATAGCTCTGAACATTCACCAGACTTAAGAGTGGTTGCCTCCTTATGGGTCAGTAGGTGTGACTCAATAAAAATAATTAGTGAAAGCCTTCTCCTGAATCTGTCCATTTGAAGGTCCCCACAATCCCTCAGCACCACCTCTACAAAGGACAAACAGAATGAGGAACAAGAGAATAATTCTTGTTTATGGGTCAGTCTTTAACCAGAAGTCTGTATAAATAAGACCCAATGTCAGATAGCTAAAGGATATATTTTGAAAGATGTGGGAGAATATGAATATTTCAGAATTATTCCCCAAAAGCAGTTACTTTTATTTAAGTGAAGCAAATTGTAAAGCTGTTAAATTTGCATAAGAGCTTTCTAAGATAAAATGGTGCAGTGCTCTGCATAATACACTGGAGGAAGCAGGTTAAATTTTTTGCTATCTAATTGGCTTATTAATAGGACAAATGGTCTTGATAGGATGTTAGCATACTATAGAATTCACACTTATGCAACTTGCTTGTTCTGTATAGCCTCCCTTTCTGGAGTCAGATTACTAGCAAGTATACCTTGGTTTTCATGAATGCAGCTTCTTCAGATAAACTTTCCTCTCATCGCTGCGTAAGAATAAATGGACATTCTGTCATTCCCTACTTCTTAAAACAGACATCCTCAAACTGTGGCCCTCCAGCTGTTTGGGCCTCAAACTCCCAGAATTCCTGGCCATTGGACAAGCTGGCAAAGGACTTCTGGGAGTTGGAGGTCAAAACAGCTGGAGGGCCATAGATTGAGGCAGCCTATCTTAAAACATGGTGAGAAACCCCTGTTGTCCACCCATTCTGTAAAGCCTAGAACTGGGCCCTTCAGACAACACTTGCCTTGCTCTAGATCTCAAATCTTTGTAAGACGAAATAAGTAGAAGTAGTAGAAATTGGGTTGATGTGAGGTTTTTTTAGGGCTGTATGCCATGTTCTGGTAGCATTCTCTCCTGATGTTTCACCTCCATCTGTGGCTGGCATCTTCAGAGGTTCTTAAGATCCCATCCACAGATGCAGGTGAAAAGTCAGGAGAGAATGCTACCAGAACATGGTCGTAGCAACCCATTGATTCTGGCTATGAAAGCCTTCTACAACATAGTCTTAGAAATGTTGATGACTATTTTTTGTATTTACAAACTGCTTTCTTCTTACTGGAAACTCATAACAACCAGCTAGATGGACTGAGATTTCGTTCTTTGAAACTTATTTCAGCAAGAGGTTTTGTGTGGATAGTGTTTCTTCTCTGCCAACAAGTTCCTTCTGTACTTTTGATTATTAACTATTACATTTTCTCCTAACATCTCTTGCATCTGGTTTTTAACATCAGTTTTATACTGGTTAACATTTCTGTCTTGCTGATGAATAAAATCCAACTTTTACAACTCAGCTCTTGTCCTCCCTCTACAGGCGAATTTGCAGCGTTCAAGTAGCCACAGCAACATTGGCAGCAAATCCACCCTATTATTTTTAAAACCTTTGTCTTTCGATAACTTCCAGACTCTGTTCTGTCCCTTCCAAACAAAGCAATTTATTGAAACGAAACCCGTAGACTTAAGAGCAGAGCAGAATGCAGACCAATCAACCCATCTTTTGGTGGGAGGGGAAAGTCCTTTGTTGGGAACCGGAAATCTTTTCTGCTGCCTCTGTGTTGACCTCCACCCTAAACACCATGTGCATTTGGAGATCCTCTCCCCAGTGGCTGCCTGTACCGTTGGCATCATTCCCAGGAGAGCAGAGGGCCTGCACTTTGACTTTCTGGTGCTCTGGCATGATGAGATTGGACCTTCTGCGTCATTGGCTTGGGATGGTCTGCTGGTTGGCTTTCTCCCTCTAACAAGGAATCATCAGAGGCTGAACATCTGATGAGACAGAGCTAATCAACACAATCATCCTCTGGTTTGATTTGATTGATTGAGACGTTTGTGTGTGCGTGTGTGTGTTTCTGATGGGCTTTTTCTGATCAGTGGGATAAATGCAGTATCTCCTTTTCAACCAAATGTGATTGTTAGCTTTTTCATTTTGAAAAATAGAAACAAACTGCCAAATTGGAGGATAAATGGGAAGTTAGGGGAAAGACTAATAGGCCAGAAAAGGAGATGCTGCACAATCTCTTCCCCAGAATTGCTTTTACCTATTGAGAATCACTCTTTTCCTCATCTTTAATTTTTGTTTTTTACTCCTTTTGAAGAGAGTTGAGAAGCTCTTTTCATCAGTCCCAAAACATTTTTTTTACAAAATTGTAGCAGAATTCTAAATGTGTGGGTTTTCTTTTTCATTTTGTGTTGATACCATTTTGATTCTGTGTATTTTATGTGTGAACTTTTTGGGGATACCCAGAAAGTCTAATGCAGACTATGAATAACAAGTGTACCTATTTTACAAGGTGCAAGATAATGTCAGGTACATAATATTTCATAAACAGAAGTTCTCAGGTTGAATTGAATTTGTTTAAACAAACAAAGCCCAAGCTGCAAAGCCCAAGCTGCAAAGCCCAAGCTGCAAGCCCCTCCAAGGATTAGACATTCCAAAAAGTGTGCTTAGATACTTTTTTAAAAAGAGCTTTTAATCATGTTAACTTGGCTCCGTAGGCGTGCGTGTGCATGTGTTAATATGCAGTAACTTGTCTTAAGTGGCAGTTTGCTGGTTTGGGAATTTTGCTATTGAAATGTTACTTAACAGGATCAACACTTGTTTCTTCTGTTGCCATTTTCCTATCCTCAGATTTTCCATATACCTTCTTTTCTTTCCCTGTGTTTTGTATTTTTGGCTTAAAGGTTATGGTGATCGCATTTTGCTTTCTCTTTTTGCCTTGTCCTTAATCCTAATTTGCAAAATGATTCCCAGTTCTGATTTTTCTCCAGTCAGAGCTAAGAAAACCTCGTAACACTAAGCTATATATGTAGGCTAACAGAATTATCAGATGTAGGCTAACAGAATTATCAAATGCACTGATTAACATAGCACGAATTTGCTCCCAGTTTGTTGGCAAATTGGATGCTAGTGAAGTGAAGCTCTATATCCCCAGAAGTCTTGGCATTTAGTGCATTTTAGCCCTGTTCCTGCTTCCTATTCCAAGGCTGGGGAAAACCACCCCAATAAATGTGTGCTATTCAAACCTCATCACATTGGAACAATTAATATCAAAATTCAGAGTCTGCACTGTGGTCGATAAACACTTTGGCTCCAGTACAAGGTTTAATTGTGCAAAAGAAATATAACTTGTCACGGAATTTCTTTTTAAAATAACATGAGCTTCATTTTACTAGGATTGTTAGGTATTGCTGAAAATTACTAGCTCTTGCAGATACTCAAGCAATAGGGTAATTGAAAGACTGTACATTGAAACATAATCATGGTAGTTGCAGTAATGACATTGCTGTGCACGGTTCGTGGGTGGCATGGCGGACTTCCGTACACAAGTGCCATTGAAGGGAGTAAATTTATGAGACTGTGAGTGTGCTCTGGAATCATTTGTCTTCACTTCAGTGACCAGTTGCTTTGGAGACTATCCTGAAGGTTTGCATAGAAAAACAATAATAAAGCAATTTGGTTGCTACTTGAAAACTGAACCTATGCTGAATTCTATATCATTACTAGGGAAGCACAACTTTCCTTTGCTGTTTTTGACAGATTTGGTTAGAGCAGTATATCTTTTCTAAACACAGGCTCCTTTTCAAACTTGCACTATCTTCTTAATACCCCCACCCTCAGAACCAACAAAGAATCTGTTCCAGACTTGACCTTACATGAATCCTTGCATTTGCTACTGTGTGTGACTTGTTGGGATGTGATAAATTTTAGACATTTGGTTATGAAGGCCAGCAGTGGCATAAAACCAGGAAGAGGCTGGGATGACAAACCATGTAAAGGAAAAGTGAGAACAGACTCAGACCTCTAAGCCAGTCTTCCCAAATCATATGAGGTTGATGGAGCACCAAAGATGTAGTCACTCCCATGAAGTCAACAAGGATCATTGTGGATGCTTTTCTAAGGACCTTCTTTACCTGTGGGAAGGAAAGCAGTTTCAGAATTCAGCCCTGTCTCCCTCCAGGGGCCCAGCCACCTCACAGCTTTGCACCTAAATGTAAAACTTTATCTTCATCCCTGTTCAAAGGCATTTTATTTCTTTTTGCCTGGCTCTCTAGACTGCTATGGTCAGTTTGAATTCTGATGTTGTTTCCTGATGCATTAGTTACTTCCCAGTTTGAGCATCTGCTCTATACTTGCCATGCGAGTTATTCATGATAATACTGAACAGCACTAGGCCTGAGATGAAGCCTTCTGGCCTGCCACATGTGTGTTTTCCCCTAAGTATGATGATGGTTAGCACTCCTTGGGTTCATTCTTGTCAACTGGTTGCCCATTCAGTCAATAGTAGAGGTATCTAGCCACATTTTTGAGCTTGTCCACAAAAATATTGTAAAACTTTCTTGAAAGCCATGCTAAAATCAAGCATCCAAAGTACACCAGATCTTCAGGTTACAAAACTTCCAGTTGTCTTGTTTAAGCTTCTTCCTACAAAGATTTGTGATACTAAAGCCAAGGGAGTAGCTTTAGGAGAAAAACTCTTGCCTAGGAGAAAACCTCAACACTGTCCCCCACTTGTTCCACAAGCTTACATGCTGCACCTTGCCATCTTAACTAGGCTTGTTACTTGAGCTTTTCACACTCACTGCAGCAACAACTAAGCACTCCATTGATTTCTCCCTCTCTTTTTCCCCTAAAATTATCCTGTAACTCTTCAGCACTGGCTCCTGCTATTTACTCAGTAGTACCTCCGATCTCCATAGTCACATGACCTTGGAGGTGTCTACGGACAGCGCTGACTCTTCGGTTTAGAAATGGAGATGAGCACCACTCGCCAGAGTTGGACACAACCTTTACCTTTATCTTTTACCTCCCAGTTGGTCCATGACTGCAGCTTGAATCTTCTGTCTGTTACCTTAGCATGCCCCTGGCATATCTTGTAGTATCTTGTAGTATCCAGTCTTCTATTCTTCTTTTAATGTTGCTATTTCTATACAGCAGAAGGAAGTGCCTTGAGTGGCACAGACAAAATGAACCTCTCCTTGTCATCTCCAGACATGCTGCCCTTTGGAGGTGCACCAATGCCATCCCTCTGCCACATTATTCAGAATTTTCTTTTCAAAGCAATTTAGGGACAGTCTCATGCTAAGTATCTGGCTCATTTTAATAACCAATTGAAAATTCATATATTTTCTTGGTGGTTTTTAAAAAGTAATATAGTTCTATTAGAACTAATAATAAAGAAGTGATCCTGGCTTGATTGTATTCAGACCTTGTTATTCAGTAGTATGCAAATAAGCTTTAAAAGAAATTGAACAATTGGGGAAAGTGTCTTGTTTATACAAACCACTTTAAAATAAATGACATATGCTTGGTGGTTGTATTCTTTTCATGACATATGAAACTTTATTTATAGCTTGCTCTATCTCCCTGATGGGACTCAGGGTGGCTCACAACAAAATACACAATGGCAAACATTCAACTCCAACAATAATATATAAACAAATCAACAGATAAATAAAAAACAACTTAATAAACTATAGAATCATAGAGTTGGAAGAGACCTCATGGGCCATCCAGTCCAACTCCCTGCCAAGCAGGAAAATTGCATTCAAAGCACCCCCAACAGATGGCCATCCAGCCTCTGTTTAAAAGCTTCCAAAGGATCCTCCACCACTCCGGGGCAGAGGGTTCCACTGCTGAACAGCTCTCACAGTCAGGAAGTTCTTCCTATGTTCAGATGGAATCTCCTTTCTTGTAGTTTGAAGTCATTGTTCCGCATCCTAGACTCCAGGGCAGCAGAAAACAAGCTTACTCCCTCCTCCCTATTTATACATGGCTATCATTTCTCCTCTCAGCCTTTTCTTCTTCAAGCTAAACATGTCCAGCTCTTTAAGCTGCTCCTCATAGGACTTGTTCTCCATACCCCTTTATGTTATAAACCAGCATAAATGAACAAGACAAAACATAAATGAACAACACATGGATGTTGAATGCTATAGAGGAGTTAGCATCTGAATTGGACACAAAAAATGTGTAAATGCCTCCTTCTGTTCCTTTCAGTCGAGTAAAGTGAAGCTCGCTGGTTTGGGATATGCTTCGTAAGTCACTATTAAAGCCAGATTTTCTCCATCATTCACATTACTGTTGAATCTGTAGAAACTGATAAACTGGTATATCCTTTACCTAGTACTGTCAAGGTTATAGTGCCATTGGATGTTCCAAAAGGGTTGCTTCCTTGGCACATGAATGCTCCAGAATCATTAACTCCCACTGATAATCATCCACATTCTTGCTTCTGCTTGTAAGATTCACGTTGGTTTGAAAAATCCAGTTCGCCCGCAGAGTGCTATCTACATCCCTGATTGTGCACGTAACTTTAAATTCTTCTTTAAAAAGCTGGTCGGCTTTGGATAAGGTGATGTTTGGAAGGGATTTGCGAACTGGCCACACAATAAGGGAGATGGCTTCTGACTGTTTTTCCACTCTGTTGTGTTGTGCTACACCTTGGCAACATCCCAAAAATGATATTTGTATATTTTTATGGTGATTCCTTTCTGAGGGTCAGGTTTTAACAAAATTCTCAGGTAGAGACTTGGCATTTTTACAACTTTTCAGCATGAAATTTGAAATCTCTGGATCTGTCACTGGGCATAAGAGCGTAACTGTCTTCAACTGAAAACATGATAGGTTTGTGAAAGAACAGAACCTTTGGATCTTTAACAAAGATATAAATAAATATATAAATGGAGTCATTCAAGCCATCTTTGTCCTTGAACATATATGTCTGGTCCAACTGTACTTACGTAAAACTCCTGAGATCTTGAATGCTTGGACATTGCAGATCAGTCTGCATTCTGGATATGCCAAGCCACAGGGCCATCAACACTACAAAACAGCTTTAATTCTTGCCCACTATCCACAACTAAAGGGAATCCTACTGGAGTGATTGAAGGTCTTGTGCCATCTGTTGCCGGGTAGCCCAGAAACACCACCAGCAAGACCACTTCTATGGCTCAAGAGACTTTCATGACGCCAACAGCAAGGGTCCCTCCTGACTGACCTCAAAAGCGAGGCAAGAAGTGCATCTAAACTTCAAATTTGTCTGCCATTCCATTAGGACCTCCCTGTTGATCTTCATTACTCCCTCTCTTTACCGCACAGATACTTCATTCAAGAGACTCAATATAATTTGCCCTAATTCATAAAACGTTTTGCAGATCACTTTAATCATTTTCTCTTATCTCTTTAAACTTATGCCATCCTATATGCTCTTTTTGCAGGGAAATTTCAAGTGACAGAAATATGGTCAAAATCTGAGTAAATACGAATTGAATAGGATTGCTCTGGAAGTCAATTTAAGAACAGAATCCATTTTGTGGTCCTCTGTGAAGACCAGCATTAGAAAAAGTCTGGAGGCATCTGACTTTCCTTTTAAAAAACTTGGCCGAGAGATTCAACCTCTTTATATTTTCTATCTTTGCAAACATTTATGTGGCCCAACACACATCTTGATGGCTAGATATTGCCAGATATATAGCTAGATAATGTCGGGGTGGTTCTTTACCCCATGGTGCCACCACCAGAGACCTGTTCTGTTGAGAATTCAACAAAGGCACAGGGAAAAATGCCATATTGTGTCAACATGACATGTGGGCAGCAACCTATATCAAATTGTTAGTTTCAACTTAAGTAGACTCATTGAATTAATAGGAACTTGGTAAATTAACACACAAATTCTAGTATTTCAGTGGGTTTAAGGTGGATGTTCGGGACCGTTAGAGGTGTTTCCAGCACTGGGTGTTGCCTCATTACCATCCTCGATTGAGTGGTTTTTCCACTGAAACAAGATGAGCACAGGCAGGCAGTTTACCAAAAAGTGGCAACATAATCTATTGTGGCGAGATCCTGTAGGAAGTGTATTGCTTTGAATATGTTTCCATCCATAGTCCAGCCTAAATCCATTTGCTGGTTCAAAATAGAGTGGACCCATTGAATCTTTGGGAATCAATATGAGGCAGTTAATTTGGCATTAAAACTGGTGATAGTCCCTATTGCATGACGCTGTGCCCATCCCACTGCTGGGCTCATCCTCCCCATGATTAACATGTCACCCACTATTGATAGGCAAAACCCATTAAAAGCTGACAATCCCACAACTTTCCTGTTACCTACTTTGTGTGGATCATCCTCTCCCATTACCCACCATCTCCCATGCTAGTCCTAAACTTTCTGTTTTGTACTTATTTAATATTTCACTGCTTATTTGCCCTTTTTTGTTTGTTATATATGGCTGTAATGTGAAATTACTCTCTTAAAAATAAAAATAATTGCTGCAGTGGATGTGCAGCAAGGCAGAATTAAGAGGGTATGCGGAAGTAAGATTGCAGGACATTGGACTGATGAATCAGGCTAATTGCATAAATGAAGAGAGGTGTGATGTTGAAGGTGCTCTTCCTGGTATGTTTCTATCTATGAAAGTGTGACTGCCTTGTAACAGTGGCACCATGCAATAAAGTCTTTACTGTTCTGACACTCCGCTTAGAGACTAACAACTGGATGTAGGCCTTAGGTTGAATTTTCACTGTGAAACATGACCATTTGCTGGTTTTTGGGGTGAGGGTGGGTGAACATTTTCAGTTTGCTTTTTTGTATAGCAGAATGCTTTGAGGAAGAGTTGTGGTAAAGGCCTGTTTTGCAGCTTGTATTCTTTTTTGGACTTTAAAAAGCATAAGCCGTATAGAGTTCATAGTCCTACAAGCTGAATAGCTATCCATCCATTCAAAAATAAAAGGGAAAAAGTCACTTGAAAAGAATGACACCATTGAGCCTTGTGGCAATATACTCTAGATTTAGTGTGAATCCAATTTAGCTATATTAGCTTGGGTACAAAATCATGTTAGAAGAAGTTATTCCATAGCTTCCATTCCCATTTCTTCAGTAGCTCTTCCATATTCTGATGAGTGTGAACCAATGTGGTGTACTGGTTTGAACGTTGGGCTGTGAATCAAGACCATGGTTTGAATCCCCGCCCAGCCATGTTAACCTGTTGGGTGACCTTGGACATTTCACACTCTCAGAGGAAGGCAAAAGCACCCTCCCCCAAAAAAACCCCAAACTTGCCAGGAAAAGCCCACAATGAAGTTGCCTTGGGGTCTCCATAAGTATACAACAACCCTTGAGTACAATGCTCTGTTTTAAAATGGAGAATGGCTACAAAGCTGTTCAGCCAAGCTGCATCAACCTTCCTAGAAGGTAACTCCCATTATCCCACAGCCATCATATAGAAGTTATCCAGCATGTTTTAAGGATGCAGCAGTTACTGAGTGTTCAAGGTTCATTTTGCCTTGGAGCCCATCTTGAGGGGAAAGATGGAGTATAAACTCAATAAATTAATGAAATATTGGGTCCCTAACACTTATGCTGGAAGTGTGTGCTCTTTAAAATAGCTCCCTTGTAATTTGCCAAATGATCTGTGCCTTTGAAAACACAATTTTTAAAAAATCTTAAAACATATCTAGGTGCTTATATAACTGGAGCACTGGCTTTGCCTTGACTCCAGGACACTACATTTTCCAATGGGTGGCAAAAGAAAGTTGGACCTCATGTTTAGATATCAAAAGGATTTAATGGTACTGCGCTGCCAGTATATATGCCATTAATCTCATGGAGACTTTTTTGCAAGTTTTCCAGGTAGATTGCGCCCATAGTCTTTTATTCTTAACATCATAAGAAAAAGACTAATGTGTGCATGTTTCCCAAGTTTACATAATTAAATTGGAAAAGATGAACCTTAAACTGTTTCAGCTAAATAGAATTGCATATTTGTAGAAGTATCTCCAAAACTGATGTTTCCTTTTGAGTAGTTTTGGAAAAAGGGATTGCATCACGATGAGGAGTAGCTTAATTCTAATTAATTTGTGATTACCAGAATAGGAGACGGTGGCTACATTTGTTGATGACATACTTATTTAGAACAGCATCAGATTTGTTTGAAATCTTTTGTCTTCCTGTTAATATAACCTGTTAAACCAGCTGGATTTAGTTAACATACTTTAGGTGATCTACAGAGCAGAAGTGCACGAATACTTAAGAACCAATAGATGGGCTAACATGCTGCATCTTGTACCCTGTTCTTTGTAGTTTCTGTGACTTACACAATATGAGAGTAACCAGCATAGTACATTATTTGGAATTTTCTGTTTGTTTTGGCGAGAGCCCCATGAAGAGAATGGGCAAGCCAGGTTTGTAACTGGTCTGTCCCATTTCTCCTTCCTACCTCTTGGTATAAACACTTGGTCATCACTTGGAATGATAATTATGTGGGATTAAAGTTATATTTCATAATTCACCAACGTTTGAATATCAGCAGCCCAGAAAACATCTTGAGGTAGCAAAATGAACTTTGTGTAGCTTAATACTATATATGTTTGTTCAGAAGTAAGTGCCACAGTGTTTAGTTGGATCCCAACCTTGAGTGTGTACATTTAGTCCCTGAACCCACCAGGGTTTTGAGTTTGCAATTGCTTACAGAACCATGTTGGTTCATCCCCTTCAACTTCCGATTATATACTAATCCTACAATTTACTTTTCATGTTACAGTTGGAATTGTTGTTACAATTACTCAACTTTCTGAATTAAGAAAATGCCAAGCAGGCAACTGCGGGTGCTATTATATAGGCAATTTTGTTTTACAGATTCCCTATGACACTAAATTGAGCTCATCTTAGTTGTATTCTTCTACTTGTTTCTGATTTTTCTGTTTTTATTCTTCTGTCTATATGAGAATTTCACTAGAACAGCAGATCTATTTCACTGCACATTTAGAGGTAACCAGATCGGGAAAAGTTGCACAAAAATGCCGAGAAGCCCAAGAAAGCAGGATGGAGTGGGTAAAACATTTATCCAGGTTTGGGGGGAATAGGACCAATGGGGCCGGGGTGGTGGTGGGACGTGTTGGAACATTGGTTTGGCTTGCGTGTAGAGCCAAGTTTATATAACATTTGACTTAAAAGATAAATCTTAAGTGCAATACATGTACTTTGTAATTCAAAACTGTGAATGGTTAAGAAAGAGACACCTCATTCCAACTAGATCCTCCTCCCTTTCCTTTTTCCTTCCTGTCACTAAAACCTTGCAGTGACCAATCTCTGTACCATGTAAATCCTGCCACCACGGCAACTGTGTTTTCAGGAGATATGCCAACCAAACACACTATAACCTTACTTTTAGCCCCAAGGTATTTTGTTTATAATGTGGATTCCAAACAAGATTTAGTCTCATTTGAGGGTATCTTTATCTACTTCACACTCCCCAAATATCTCTTATAGCATATTGTGACTGATGGGGAACTATTGTCAGAGATACCCAGTTGGAGAGGAGGAAAGTGGGGCTGTTTCTCCTCCCACCTGGTAATGGGCCGCCTTTGTATCAGGAGGATACAAGAATAGATTGTGATAGAAGAATGATGTGCTAATTCAAGGCTGAGCACTGCTTGCCCTACCACTGGACTGCAATAGCCCTTCTAGCCTAAGTGGGAAGTTTTGTTTGTGTAACCAGCACCTCTTCTGGCTACTAGGGACCAGTGACGGACAAGAGGGTTGCTTCTCTAAGCTAACACAGGAACCAATTTTTCTAGTTTTCTATTGTGTTTGGAAAACGCAGCAACTTGCCCTTTGCTTCCATTGCTCCAATTTCTTGGAACAGGATCTGTAACTTGAGTGTTTCATTACATGGACCGTCCTATGTTCCCCTCTCAACCACATTATATCTCTTTGATTAGCAAGGAGTAATTGCACTAGACAGTCATTCTCTCCATTGCTTTGTTGAAGAGAATCATTCCGATGCTTTGTTTTAATGTAGCCTTAAGAATTACTACCTGCAAACTGTTTACGACTTCAGGGGTTTGTTGTAATAGAACTATACTGTTGCTAACAGTCATCCCCTCTATTCATTCTTCTCTGCTATACAAGAGCTGCAATTAGCAATTATATCAGGCGAATAGAATTAACAAGTATACCAGGCAAATAGAATTAACAAGTATACCAGGAGACTGTTGGAGCACTGCAGGGACGGTGCTACTAATGCAAACTCACTGTTCGTTGTTTCCTCTTCCTTAGTGTTCTTTGAAATCATTAACAGTCTTTTGGGTAGAACTCGATAAGCCTAAACGGGTTGATCCTATGGGAGTCATTGAAAAAGACAGCCAACAAAAAGGTTTATCAGGTTATTCCAGAAAAATGGTTGAAAAGGAGAAAAGTGTAGGATTTGTTTAATTAGTGGAGGTGTATTAAACTAACATTCCTTCAAGACATATTTACCATCATTTTCACAAGTCTAGAATTTCAGTCGTTTTTCTTCCAAAACTGGTAACGACTTTTTAAAAAACAGAAGCTAAATGTTTCAAAACCTGAACTGTATTTCTATTTCACAGGGAAGTTTGTTTTCAGCTTTCCATTAGATGGATCACTGCAGCTTTTTTTTTCCCGCTTCGAAATATTTCCTTCTCCATAACTGTTCACCATAAATGTTTATTCAACTCAGTTTCAGTTGTTTCTATCCCCTGGTATCTCCTTTAGCCTGTATTCTCTTCATTTGTATTTTGAAGCATTTTCTCTCATGTAAATTTGTACAGTGGGAAATATTGTCCAGTTTGGTTTAGAAAGCATGGAGACATAAAGTTTGATAGCTAAAAATTGAGATTGAAGAATTATTTGTGTAAAGTTATTTAAAGAACTCTGTATTATATAAAAGGTTTAAAAGTTCTATGTATTTGATGTGAATACTGCTATAATAAAGATTGACTGCATGGAGAACAGTCTCTGCGTGTGCATTAGTGAATTCACTGCTGAATTGCAAATGTCAAAGAACAGAATGAAAGCAAGGGTTAGATGGGCGTTGGAAGCTGAGCTACAGCAATCAGATGACGGGGCCCAAGTTTTGCATGAAAAGATTCAGTGAGACAAAGCCATTGCTCTTCCAGCTAAATGATGTTGCCCTTATGAGAATAAACCATTGCTTTCTTTTGTGTGGTGACATGCTACAAATACCTGAAGAAGGTCACATCCTTCTCAGCAACTTTTTACCTAAACCTACTCAGCCCCTTTAAACCTTTTCTCAGAAATCATTTTCCATTTCTTTCCTCTAAACTCGCTGCCTTTTTTCTTTGTCCTCTAGAACTGGGCACCATATGGCATAAGGGGTGCTTTCTTCTGAAGATAATTGTCTGCAGGATTTCTGTGACAAGTACAAATATAGTATAAAAGTTCTTCTGTAATAAACATACACATTTTTAGATACTTCACATTCTGGTACAGCACCCCCCTTTTGTGGAAACAGACAACTTTAACAGCTGAATTTATTTTAGCTTTATTTACAATTTCAAATGCTACAGAAAATGAAGCATCTTTTTCTGCAGATCTCTTCCCAGGAGTCTGTAAAGAAAAACAAATATTTGGTTGAGCAGCTTATACTTTTAAATACATATATATGAGGAACAGCAGCAAAAAAAGAATTGTGGTATGAAGAAAAGTACAGTCAACCCTGTACATTTGCAGACTTAGTTATTTACAAATTTGTTTAAAATGTTCTCTCTAGGCCAGAGGTTCTCATCATATAGGTCCCCAGATGTTTTGGCTTTCAACTCCCAGAAATCCTAACAGCTGGAAAACTGGCTGGGATTTCTGGGAGTTGTAGGCCAAAAAACCTGGGGACTCACAGGTTGAAAACCACTGCTCTAAGCTTCCTGTGTGACTGACTCTATAGTCAACCTTTGCAGGAAGTTTATCATAGAGGCATGCTGCAGAACCTAGAGATTCTTAGCTCTTCTCTAGGAATTCTTTGTGGCTTTTCACTTTTGCAGGGGTTCTATACCCCTAACTCCAGAAAATGTTGAGGGCTGGCTGTATATCCTGTTATGACATTCCGTTCTCAAGGATTGACTTCAGTATTTTGTAAAGTGAAAAAAAAATCTGATCAGCCCTTCCCCCATATCACCTTGCTGCATTTAATATTAGTCAAAATCCACAGGATCTTTTGGTGCACTGCATATGTTTTGAACTATACTTCCACTGCTCTGGAAGATCTCACAATTGAGGCATATGGCAACTGTAGTCCAAAACAGCTGGAAGATTTGATATTGGGGAAAGGCTGTGGCACATAAATGGTAGCAGCTGAGACACATATAATGTAATTAAGCCAAAGATACCCTATCCTCCCATTCTCACATTCTCAGAAGGACTCCCTGTCAGGAATACTTCTACACTAGCTTTTCTAACTTTAAGTGCTTAAACTCATACCTTGGAACAAACAATTCATGCTTATTCTTCATCGTCAGGGGGGATTCCCAGCTCTTCATCTGTCCACTGAGAAGGATCTGGATAAGGAAAGTGGCCCTGTCAAAGGCCAACAGAGGGTTGTGTAAGATAGAATACCATCCAAAAGACAGAGGACTTTTCTCGTTAGTTTTTTCAAGGGTAGTCAGTTTGTGGTGGCTGTACTAGGTCTTGAGGTGGGGTTTCCAAGAGCCCTACCAGACAAGCAATTTGCATTTAGAGAGATAGTGGGAACCATAAAATCAAAACCTTAGTTTGCATTTTCTTTTTCTTTTTCTAAAAAGCATCCTGTTTTCCCCCTCAGTACGCCCTGGTGCTACTTCTCTATAGTCTTTCCAGGCCCCTGATGCCCTTACCAGCACAGCATCAGGATCATGCCAGAATTTCCACAGGATCCAGAACCACATTAGGCTGCTGATCACCTCAGCCTTGACCTGCTGGGACCGTGTTAGCTCTGGGAACTGGCGGTAGCGTGGTTCAATATGCACACCTCCACTGGCACTGCAAGACAAATATAGAGACAGATTGGCCAACAGATACAGAAGGCCATGGAATAAGATACAGATACAGGAGGGCATGAAATAGAGTAGTCTATTCAAAATGGGTGAAAATCATGCAACACTTCAAATGCTGTTTCCAACATGTATCAGCAGTGGCCATGATGGCCAGGACTGTTGAGAATTGTAGTCCAGTACCTTCTGGCAGGCAACATGAGTCTCACCCTGTTTGCAAAAACTGCTGTTATTTAATGTAATAAAATACATTCTGCCTATATCATCACTTAAGAGGCCCCTCCCCCTTCTGGCACAACGGCTGCTCTGGCCAGAGCGAAGACAGAAGGGAGCAGAAGACACTTCCATCTTGTCTTTACTAATAATATAATATAGTATATTGTATATACATATAATATTTATAATATTATAATGTAATACAATATAATACTAGTAATAATAATTCAATATTATAATTATACTTATATATTTTATTACATGTAATATTACTAATAATATTACAATATAATGGTATAGTGCAATATAGTAATATATACTGATATTGTACTATGCTAATAATATATATTGTATGAAAATATATATTGTAAGCTGCTCTGAGTCCCCTCCGGGGTGAGAAGGGCGGCATATAAATGCCATAAATAAATAAATAAATAAATAAATAAATAAATAAATATATAATAGTAGCGAGCAGACCTCTCTCAATTTCTAAGGTCCACTACCCTTAATCCAGTAGCTAACATGAACAGGGATACTCTAGAAAATAACAAATGCTTCAGAGCACATGCTCATAGTTGGAATTTATGCTCAAGTATGAGAAGCATGTCTCCCTATTCAATGTAACATGGCCACGTATATTGTCTTGCTATAATATGGAATATTAAGCTATCTACTGAACTATATATTGCATTGTAACATTAAAATGCTGTTCCCTGTTGTGGATAGAGTAGCTATGTGTTACAAGTTCATATCAAGATTGACTGACTTGTATACCATCAAAATCCTAAGCCACCTACATGTTCTATGGGGACTGCTACTTTTGCTCTTGTTCCTCATCACCTCTGATAAGAGAACCTCTATTTGAAGGCGTCACATTCCTCCAAATTCCCGTGTTAGGGAACAAACTTCTACATCAGACGCCCCTTCGACGCTGCCATATACAATCCAGATTATCTACTTTGACTTGGATTATATAGCAGTGTAGTCTCATATAATCGAGTTCAAAGCAAATAAAACGGATTATCTGCTTTGATAATTTGGATTATATGACAGTGTAGAAGGGACCAGAGACATTCCCTTTGTGTTTTTCATCCAAGACCGTTTGCTGGAATCTTAAGAAAACCACATACACCCCAATATGTTGCACAGCAGGTACACAGGCCTCAAGTTGCTGGACCTTCTCTTCCAACACAGCCACCAACTTGCACTTGCTGCAGGGATAGCTAGCTTTTGTTGTTCATCTTACTGGCATGAGAAATAAGGGCCACTGTACGGAAGTTGGAGCAGTCTTTCACATTTCCCTTTTTTGGTATGGGGATATAAGTTGATTTTTTCCAGTCTGATGGCCATTCTTGTGTTTTCCATATTTGCTGGCATATGGCATGCATCACCTTGACAGCATCATCTTTTAAGATTTTAAACAGTTCAGCTGGGATCCCACCGTCTCCTGCTGCCTTGTTGTTAGCAATGCTTCTTAAGGCCCATTCAACCTCACTCCTCAGGATGTCTGGTTCTAATTCATTCACCACACCGTCAAAACTATCCTCGATATTATTATCCTTCCTATACAGATCTTCTGTATAGTCTTGCCACCTTCTCTTGATCTCTTCAGCTTCTGTTAGGTCCCTGCCATCTTTGTTTCTTATCATACCAATTAGCTAGCTAGTTACCCACATTCTCCTGCAAGAACACCAAACAGAGCACAGCTATTGTAAGTGATGCATCACTATCAATATTCAATAGTCTTAAACGGGACTCCTGAGTCTCCCTCTCAAAACTCCTGTGCCCAATTCTCTTCACTATTTTCCAAACTCCAAGGACTAGGCTGCAGCTGTAAAAAGAACAATTACTAGATCCCAATACTAGCTGAGGGACTAAGAAATGCAGTCCCAAAAGATAACTCTGCTAAATTCTGTCCTGGTCTCCAGGAAAGCAGAAAACAAGCTTGCTCCCTCCTCCCTATGACTTCCCCTCACATATTTATACATGACCCTCATCATGTCTCCTCTCAGCCTTCTCTTCTTCAGGCTAAACATGCCCAGCTCTTTAAGCCGCTCCTCATAGGACTTGTTCTCCAGACCCTTGATCCTTTTAGTGGCTGTTGACCTTCGCTATGCATTGAGCCCTAGGGATTGGGCCTTCTCCTACAGCGGTAGCGCCTAAAGGAGTAGCTCCTCTCCCACTCACCGTCGGATTCCGGGGCCCCTTCCTGCCTGAAGGACGCGGGTGGCGGCCCGGCACAACGACCCCACCATCCTGACAGCCGCCCCTGAGCTTCCTCACGCCGCCTCGCAATATCTCTTTCTGCTATAGGCTGGGCAGCCACCGCGCTCTGATTGGTCGCCGCTCCCTCTTGGCGCGTTCCAATCCGAGTCACCGGAGGGGGGGGGTGGAGAGAGAGAGGAATGAGACAACACCATAATAAATGAAGTCGACTCGCTATAAAAAATTAATACACAGTCGCCAACTCAATCAACTCAAAAGACTCAATCTTATCGTGCCTTTTCCTCCGTCTATCCCGCTTTGACTCTAAATCTTCTATATCGTCTCCCCCCTACATTTGGGAGTAGAATGGATCGGCTTGGGATGTACCAAACGGTTAGCAAGAGGGGTGTATATGTCTAATTCGAGTTTCTCTCCATAACATTGAACTTACGGTAATTTCCGAAGATGTGGCTCAACGCAGAAAATTAAGAGAAATCGTGAAATATATCATTATCCTTTCAATTTTTAATGTTATTATAAAAATGCCAAAACTTGCTCCCCCCGTTCCAGGGTTCACAATGGTTCAGCTTGTTGTTCTTGGTTGCCAGGCAACGGGCAGGACTCCAGTATCTTGCAAGGATTAACAGGGGGAGCAGGTGAGTTGGAGCAAAGGACGATACCAAGTGTATGGAAGTTTAGAGGGGGGGCGGGTGGAGAGCAAAAGATGCTCCAATTCATTATCATGCATCACTCTTTGACAGAGAAGGCTAAAGACTATGTAAAGCTACTACTCCCAAGATTCCATAGCAGTGAGCCATGGCAGTTGAAGTGGTATCAAACTGCATTAGTTCTCCAGTGTAGATGCATCCTAAGCCTATCTTATGCTACCAGCTTCATTGACTCAGTCTCTAAAAATCTCTTTGCATTATAATATATGTATGTAAACATCTATAGCAACCAATAGGAAAGAAGCTGTTGTGGATCTCAGTCCAGATAGAAAATAATAATAATGAGAGATATTGACAAACTGGAATGTGTCCAGAGGAGGGCGACTAAAATGATCAAGGGTCTGGAGAACAAGCCCTATGAGGAGTGGCTTAAGGAGCTGGGCATGTTTAGCCTGAAGAAGAGAAGGCTGAGAGGAGATATGATAGCCATGTATAAATATGTGAGAGGAAGTCATAGGGAGGAGGGAGCAAGCTTGTTTTCTACTGCCTTAGAGACTAGGACATGAAACAATGGCTTCAAACTACAAGAAAGGAGATTCCATCTGAACATGAGGAAGAACTTCCTGACTGTGAGAGCCGTTCAGCAGTGGAACTCTCTGCCCCGGAGTGTGGTGGAGGCTCCTTCTGTGGAGGCTTTTAAACAGAGGCTGGATGGCCATCTGTCAGGGGTGCTTTGAATGCAATATTCCTGCTTCTTGGCAGGGGGTTGGACTGGATGGCCCATGAGGTCTCTTCCAACTATGTTGTCTATGTTGTCAAAGGCTTTCATGGCCGGGATTACTGAGTTGGTGTGAGTTGGTGTGAGTTTTGATTCTATGATTCTATTATTTGTTAATATCAGCAATATTTTGGAGGAAAGCAATGACAATCCACTTCTGAGTGTTCCAGGGGTCACTAAAGACCACCAGAAAACACAGTATTTTCTGTTGGTCATGAGGGTTCTATGTGGGAAGTTTGGCCCAATTCTGTTGTTGGTGGGGTTCAGAAGGCTCTTTGATTGTAGGTGAACTACAAATCCCAGCAACCACAACTCTCAAAATGTCAAGGACTATTTTCCCCAAACTTCACCAGTGTTCACATTTGGGCATATTGTGTATTCGTGCCAAGTTTGATCCAGATCCATCATCGTTCGAGTCCACAGTGCTCTCTGGATGTAGGCGAACTACAACTCCAAAACTCAAGGTCAATGCCCACCAAACCCTTCCAGTATTTTCTGTTGGCCATGGCTGTTCTGTGTGCCAAGTTTGGTTCAATTCCTTCGTTGATAGAGTTCAGAATGCACTTTGATTGCAGATGAATTACAAATCCCAGCAACCACAGCTCCCAAATGACAAAATCAAGCCACCACCCCCAACCCCGCCAGTATTCAAATTTGGGTGTATTGGGTATTTGTGCCAAATTTGGTCCAGTGAATGAAAATACACCCTGCATATGAGATATTTACATTACGATTCATAACAGTAGCAAAATGATAATTATAAAGTAGGAAGGAAAATAATTTTAAGGTTGGGGGTCACCACAACATGAGGAATTGTATTAAGTGGTTGCAGCATGAGGAAGGTTGAGAACCCCTGCCCTAAACAGTTTGGGCCTCGCCTATCTTCGCGATCACATCTCCATCTATGAACTGGCACGAACTCTAAYATCCTCCGGGGAGGCCCTCCTCTCGTTCCCACCTCCATCATAAGCACGGTTGGTGGGGATGAGAGAGAGGACTTTCTCGTTGGTGCTGCCCCCCCCCCCCACCCCAGCCCACCTCTGGAACGCCCTTCCAAGGGAAATAGGACAGGCCCCATCCCTCCCCTCTTTTTGTAAGAATGTGAAGACTTGATGGTTTCAACAAATCTTTGAGAGTGACCAGTGCTAGCTCAGCCCAGACACTGTCCAGTCACGACTTAGCCCCCTATATATTACCCTGGTCATTCTCCTAACAGGCTCTTGGAAATAGCCCAGCCCTACTTTTGTCGTTTACCTATTACAGTACTGTACCCAAATGCTGGCCCCATCTTATTTCAATTTGTATTCAGTCTTGGCCCAGCCTTTTTAATTGTCCTGACCCATTCCTTTTCCATGCTCTAACAAATAGACATGAAAAGCAGGCAGTTTTTTTCTTTAAATATTGATGTGTTGTTGGGTAATTCCATGCTTATGTTGCTGTTCCTATTTTTTTGTTTTGTTGTTGTTGTTGTTGTTGTTGTTGTTGATGTGACTCTGTATGTTTTGATGTTATTGCCTGGAAACCGCCCTGAGTCCCTTTGGGGAGATAGAACGGTATACGAATAAAGTTTTTTATTATTATTATTGTCAGGAAATTGGTGTTGAGAATGTCCCACCGCTATCGTGGTGCCCTCCCCGTGGCTGATATTCATGAATCGAATGTGGCTTTTGTGATCTGCACTTCTGAAAGTGACTTATGGATCCTGAAAGAAGTTCTCATAAAGACTCTCTTTTCTCTGCCCAACAAGCTGCGCGATTCCACTTTCAATATCATCGGTTACTCTGACGAGGTAAAGAAATACTATTACATAAGAACTATCACAGTTAGGAAATAATTCATTTTAATAAGTTAATTCCATAACTTATTGCTTTTTGTAATAACTTCTGAAAACAAAATGTTTTGACTTTAATGGTCAGGGCTGCAATTCAGTTCTTATCCATGTAAAACAATAGGTCTTCTGTCAGGCCCCTTCTATACCAGGATCTGATCCCAGTTTATCTGCTTATCCCAGATTATATATTATCGAATATATTATCGAATATATTTACAAAAACAAAATGGACATCATAACAAAAATGGAAGTTGGTAAAACAAGCATCCCTAAATCCATTGTGTCTGAAGCCTTCGAGTGAAGTAAATTGTTTTGTTTACTTCATAATTTACTGTTAGTCACGTATTTAGATATTCAGAATACTTACAATCTGCTTTGCAGCAATCTAGATCAGACATGGGCAAACTTCGATCCTCCAGGTGTTTTGGACTTCAACTCCCACATGTGGGAATTGAAGTCCAAAACACCTGGAGGGTCAACGTTTGCCCAAGCCTGATCTAGAGACTCCCAGGTTAGAAAAAAATCAAAACAAAAACACTTTGGTGCAGTGATGGGGTCATTGAAATCTTTGTTCTTCCAAAATGTATTCTGCATTTGTTCTTTTTTCCATATAACCTTGTTATTTCTTCTACAGGTATTAAAATGGCAGACTGGGTTGGTAATGTGTTCTCTCATGGCTGTCACTGAAGCTGCTACCTGGATCAGGTCCCTGAAGGTGGGCATCAAAGGCAACATCTTGAATGCTGTGGCATCAGCCCTGGAAGACCCAGCCTGCCAAGCCGTGTATCTCTTCACCAATGGACTCCATGAAGGCAGAGTAGAGGAGCTCTGGAGATACTTGAAAGATGCAAAGCAAACCCGCCCTGTGCATATTGTCTGCTTGGTGGAAAGTGGAGAGGAGAGGAAAGACAGTGCAAGAAAAATACTGGAGAAGGTAGCCAACGAGTCTGGTGGTTCCTGTCAAGTCCTCAACCTCAGCTCTAATGGGACTTCCAGTGAGGTAGGTTTAGATCACATATGTCAAACTCAAGGCCCTCCACCAGATGCTGGACTCTTGTATTCCTCATCATGACTAGAGCTGATGGGAGTTGGAATATAGTAACATCTGGAAGGCTGCTGATTGTTCTGTTTAATCAGGATTGTGCGGTTTGGATCTAGAAATAAGGCTTGTGGAGATGATGTCAGACTTCAAAATGCCTTCTAACCTTTCCCTAACCTCAGTGGTGTTGGGTTGCATATTCCAGTCTGCATGGCGGATAACACTATGTAACATGATTTTTGTTCCTGGGGTATAAATGGCATTTACTAATTGGTTCTGTAATAAAAACATGGAAAAAGTTTATTAAACTGCAAAAATATTGTGGTCTGCACACTGAAAGGTTAAAAATGGCATATCTTCATTAAGGAAAATTACAAATGAAGTGCCTAGATTGAAGGAAATAGTAGTACAGTACTAGCCTCAGCCACAGAAACAAATTTATTAGAATATAACAACTACTTTCAAAGTAAGTGACACACAATTAAGCAGGAAATAACACTTTCAAACCAGAAACAAAATTTCAAATTTTGTTACATAGTGAAATCAAAAGTGTTGAGAATTGTTGTTCAATAATTATTGTCCAATGCTGGGTACCGCAATTGAAGGGAGATGTTGACAAGCTGGAATGTGTCCAGAGGAGGGAGACTAAAATGATCAAAGGTCTGGAGAACAAGCCCTATGAGGAGTGGCTTAAAGAGCTGGGCATGTTAAGTCTGTAGGAGAGAAGGCTGAGAGGAGACGTGATGACTATGCATAAATATGTGAGAGGAAGTCATAGGGAGGAGGGAGCAAGCTTGTTTTCTTCTGCCCTGGAGACCAGGATGTGGATCAATGGCTTCAAACTACAAGAAAGGAAATTCGACCTGAACATGAGGAAGAACTTCCTAATAGTGAGAGCTGTTCAGTGGTGGAACTCTCTGCCCTGGAGTGTGGTGGAGGCTCTTTCTTTGGAGGCTTTTAAACAGAGGCTGGATGGCCATCTGTCAGGGGTGCTTTGAATGCAATTTTCCTGCTTCTTGGCAAGGGATGGACTGGATGGCCATGAGGTCTCTTCCAACTCTAGGATTCTATGATTTGGAGATCCAAATGGGGTAAAAATTAAAGAGTGCCAACCTCTCTGTGTGTGTGTGTGTGTATGGAGAGAGAGAGAGAGAGAGAGAGTTGGCCCTCTGTATCCATGGATTCTTTTTCATGAATTCAACAATTTTGGAAGCAGTTGTCCCAAAAGTTTCCTAAGCGAATGACAGTAGACTATCCCAAGACTGAATCTGCTTTTTTAGCCAAACTTTACTCCACTGGAAAATGTCCTTTTGTTGAATTCAGTCTCTTGCTCCAGAGTGAGAGCATGAGGGCTCTTGCTCCACTTGCTTAAACCAAACCATGAATGAAACTGCTGGAAAAGACTGAAATGTGTTGAAGTCTTAGAGCCACTAAGTATTGAAAGATTTCATGCTTAATAACACTGTTTCTCCAAACTTTTTTCTAGGATAAGCCTGGTTGTACTGTAGGCATTCCCTGTTCTCTTTGTATCAGGAAACAGCATTCCACCCCTTGGTTGGATGGCCACTGCAGGACACAGTAAGTTTGAGGTTGATAGATCAGGGATAAAGTCTGCAGATGTTATTGGACTGTAGATCCCATCATCCTCCACCACTCTTTTATATATATATATATATATATATATATATATATATATATATATATATATAAATAAATAAATGTAATGTTCGTGTTTGGGATTAACATAACTCAGAAACCACTGGACAAAATGACATCAAATTTGGACACAATACACCTATCAGGCCAACGAGTAACCATCACTCATAAAAACACTGAAAAACACAGCAAAAGAGACTTTAAAAGGCAAAAACTAAAAAATACATTACAACGCATGCACTAAACCACATATATATACACAAACACACATATATACAAATATATACACACATGACACATATACACAGACTGGGCCACAGCAACACGTGGCAGGGGACGGCTAGTGTGTGTGTATAGAGAGGGAGGGAGGGAGAGAGAGGAGCTTAGGATGTCACTGGGAAGGGTTAACATCCCTCTGGTGTTTGTTCAGGAGATTTCACTTCACTTTCTGTCCCTGTGAGAACTGGATTTTGAAAAATTTGGCTTGTTGTGGAAACAAGATCAGTGATAAACTTCACTGGAGACACCTTTTCCCAATGAAAACTCTTTCAAGAGTGGAATTCCCTTCTGAGGAGTAGATTTCTCTCACTTCCTGTTGCTTCACATCCGTTCTTAACTATGAGTCATTTCTAATCCGATGTTTGTAACTGCCTGTACTGGTTTTACATTAATATTTTATTTTGCTAATCTTGGAGTAACAGGATTTTTTGAAAAGGCATATGTACTTTCCTATGTCCATATCCTCTTGATCCCAACTCCGTCTCAAGTGTGGTTTGTGGGAATGAAAGAGGGGGCCTTCTCAGTGGTGGCCCCCCAACTTTGGAATGCCCTCACGAGAGAGATTAGGTTAGCCCCCTCCCACCAAGCCTTCCATATACAACTGAAGACATGGCTATTTCGACAAGCCTTTGACCATGTCTACAATCCCTTAATGAACGTATTTGAAGACCTAGAAATTATTTCACCATGCACTTTATGAAACAGATATTGATTGCAGTTGTTTTATACCTGCCGCTATTGTTGCATTTTATTGATTTTAACTGGGGGGGGGGGGGGGTGTGGATGTTTATGTTGGCTGTCATTGCTTTTTTGTTATTGTCTTTGCACTTTTTGTATGTTGCATGTTTGCACCTTTGAGTGCTTTGTGAGCCATCCTGAGTACCTGTGGGAGATGGTGGCAGAGTATAAATAAAGATGATGGTGATGACGATGATGGTGGTGATTATTACTGTTATTATGTCTACAGGTTCCCTTCAAGCACATGGAGTCCAGATTCTCCTAACATATTTCTGGAAGGATCCATAAAAGAAAACGTAGAGAATTGGTCTTCAAAGTTTCACAACTTGCAAAGGGGGATCAGAGTCTTAACTAGAAAACAGACAGATGGGTATTACTACCCAGGTCACATTATCCAAAAGGTGAAGGTGAGTTTTTTCCCCCTGATTTACGTTGGGTCTTGTATTATTTAACATTAGTCAGCATAAGTGAAATTCCAGGTGTGTCAAGTTTTTTTAGGGATCCATGCAGCCCTCAGAGGCATAAAACATGCTTCTGGACCTGCTGAAGTTGCTCTCCTCTTGTTTGTTTATTAATATAGAGCTAAATACCTTTAAGACACCAAATCCTTTCTGATCCTAGAAGCGAAGCATGTCAGCCTTGGTTAGTATTTTCATGGGAGACAGATAACAAGTGCTGTTGGCTATATTTGAAAGGAAGACAGTGGAAAACTACTTCTGAGGATTACTTGTCTTAAAAATCTTATGAAGCAGATGGTATTGCTGTAAGTCAACAGAGAACTTGAAAGCATACACGAACATAATTTGGGGGTCTATTGTGGAAAAGCAAGAAATAAATATTCGAAATACATTAATTTATGCTGTGTTTCAATAGGAACCCCCGTTACGTCAGCTCCACTGGCTGCCAGTCGGCTATCGAGCACAATTCAAAGTGCTGGCTTTGGCCTATAAAGCCTTAAACGGTCCTGGCCCAATCTACCTGTCCAAACATATTTCTCCTTATGAACTCGATCCCACCTCCTTTGCAGGCATGATTGGTAGGGATGAGAAACAGGGCCTTCTCAGTGGTGGCCCCTTGGCTATTGAATTACCTCCCCAATGACATTAGACTGGCTCCTTCCCTCCTCATATTCAAGAAAAAGTTGAAAACCTGGCTATGGGCACCAGGCCTTTAGAGAATAGTGCAATATGGAATACAGAAATTATGACGTCTATGGGTCTAGTCACTGTTTTGATCTGGTTTAAATTGTTTAAATTGTATTTATATGCTTTTTACCAGTTTTATTACTCTATATACTTATTTGTTTATTTATATTGTAATGCTGCATTTAATTTTGCCATGTCTACAGGCCACTCTGAGTCCCCTTCAGGGTGAAAAGAACGGGGTAGAAATATAGTAAATAATAAGTAAAATAATGAATAACTTATTTGGATTACTGTGCTTCAAACGGGGAAGATGATTGGTAGATGATGTTTAGATTATTTCCATCAGATTTGTCCGACAAGATTTCTGGTTCACTCTTTCAGGGCCGTAGAGAACATGTTCTGATCAAATTTGAACAACTACAACAGTCACGGAAAGGGAAAAAACATCCTCAGACACAAGAAACACCCCTCTATGACATTATCGATTATGAAGATAGCAGATGGCAGCCATTGGCTCCAGGAGATGGGGTCCTAGCTCCATGGGAGAAGAATGGGCTACGGTGTGGCCCAGGCATTATCCTCCAGGTTATAGAGGCTGAATCACCTCATTCAGGTAGTGGTTCCATCTATCCCTAGGATCCGCTTTGCTTGTTTAAAATCCATACAAGAAAGGTAAAACAATACCAGTGATATATTGCTTATCTTCTGCGATACAGTCTGTTCAGATCAATGCCGTCATGTGACAGAATGGCTATACTCCCCACTCCCTGGAATGGCAATATTGCTGTATTTGCCTAGTAAAGTAGAGGTTTCCCCTGACATTAAGTCTAGTCGTGTCCGACTCTGGGGGGTGGTGCTCATCTCCATTTCAAAGCCGAAAAGCCAGCATAGTCCGTAGACACCTCCAAGATCATGTGGCCAGCATGACTGCATGGAGCGCCGTTACCTTCCTGCAGAAGCAGTGCCTATTGATCAACTCACATTTGCATGCTTTTGAACTGCTAGGTTGGCAGAAGCTGGGGCTAACAGGAGGAGCTCACCCTGCTCCTCGGATTCAAACCACCAACTTTTCAGTCAGCAAGTTCAGCAGCTCGGTGGTTTAAATTTGCCTAGCTTCCTAAAAACTCAAAATGAAGTAGTAGCGGATCATTACGAAGTGGAACCAAACCATTTAAAGTAGTGCTAGTTTACAATTGCCCCATTTTCTACTTACAACTGTGGAAAGAATCTACTGCTCTGAAAGGCCTTTGGAGGGGAAACTTGTATCGAGAAATGGGGTGCATAGTGCGCCCCTGGGCTTCATACAGCTATTGGGACCCCATAATGTGACGCTCACACACACACCAAGGCCCCAGAATTCCCCAAAGCTCAAATTCACTTTGAACCAAGTGTTCTTTTGCTTATATTTTTTTCTTTGTTGTTCTTTGGGAGTGAAATTAAGGATTTCTTTTTGTTGTCTCTGTTCAGCCTACTTCTAATTCAGTATCTCATTTATCAGTTTGAAATTATTGCTGAATTCATGCCATTGCATCAAACTGCTTAAGGAGGTGGTTCTCAACATGTGGGTTCTAAAATAGGGTTTCTCCATTTATTTGCATTTATTTACAGTCTTCAAAAACAGCAAAGTGGTTGTTAATTTCTGGAATGGTCAGACCAAGAAAGTGCCTGCAGACATCGCTGTGAAGATCCCATCTCCTTTGAGGGAACGCATTGTCCTTGAGCTTCAGATGCCCCTGACAGCCAGGGAAATGTTAGTGGAACAGAGTCCAGATTATCCCTATGTCGTGCCACCAGGTTACAGAGCTTCAGGGTCTCGCAGGCAAAATCATTTAGACTGGATGCACTGCCATGATACCCACAATGTCAAGTTTGCCGGCACTACCAGCAGCCCTGCCTGTCTCCCCCACTGCTGTTTCTGCTTTCCATCTTGGAAATCTGCTAGCTGCCCAGCAGGTATGAGACAAGCAGGGGACTCCTCAGTCCCAGAACTCAAGCTGACAAGGATGGATGAGCAACTTTCAAAGGGGAGCGTTCCCATTCTGGAAGGAGATGAGATGGAAAAGTGCAGCAAAGTAAAGAAAAAAAGCAACTTTGGATTGAAATCTGATAAAAAGATGGAAAGCAAAGATACAACACCTAACAAGGTATGTGATCATATTTACTAAGTCAGTCAAATTCAGTTTCATGAGATAAAAGAGTGTTTCCATCATTATGAGTTTTGGTTCTTTCTCAATTCTGACAAGACCAACTAAAAGAAGATATAAAGGAAGATTCTGGTGTAGCTACTAAAACAGGCAAATGTAAAATGAGAAAGGTATGTTAAGTGTGAATAAGATCAAAGGTATTCTGGAGTCTTCTTGAATATATTCATAAAGTAAAGGGATGGTGTTTGGTTGAGGGGGATGTTGGGTCTTCTGTGTGATGGAATGGTTTCAGCACTGGACTCCAGCTTTGGAGGCTACAATAATAATAATAATAATAATGGGTTGTTGTAGGGTTTTTTGGGCTATATGGCCATGTTCTAGAGGCATTTCTCTTGACGTTTTGCCTGCATCTATGGCAAGCATCCTCAGAGGTAATAATAATCATAATAATTTATTTATTTATTTGTATGCTGCCCTATCTCCCCAAGGGGACTCAGGGCAGTTTCCAACATGTAAGGCAAACATTCAACTGCCGGAAGGAAACCATACAGACGCTTACATCAAGATAACCACGTGCAACAATATAACACAATCTAATTAAACTTAACAGACAAAATAAGCAGCAATTGAAAACATGGAGCCCCTGGTGACGCAATGGGTTAAACCCTTGTGCCAGCAGGACTGAAGACTGACAGGTCGGAGGTTCAAATCTGCAGAGAGCGCAGATGTGCTCCCTCTGTCAGCTTCAGCTCCCCATGTGCTGACATAAGAGAAGCCTTCCACAAAGATGGTAAAACATCAAAACATCCGGGTGTCCCCTGGGCAACATCCTTGCAGATGGCCAATTCTTTCACGCTAGAAGCTCCTTGAGGTCATTGCCCTAAATAAAACACACAAAGAAATTATTACTGCCTCTGAAGAAAGAGTGACTGCTAAACAATTCCTTGGGTCCCAGAGGCCTTTGAGAGGATAATGGATTACTATTACTGGGAGCCCCCGGTGGCACAGCACGTTAAACCACTGAGCTGATGAACTTGCTAACCAAAAGGTTGGCGGTTTGAATCTGGGGAGCAGGGTGAGCTCCCACTGTTAGCTCAAGCTTCTGCCAACCTAGCAGTTTGAAAACATGCAATTATGAGTAGATCAATAGGTACTGCTCCAGCAGGAAGGTAACAGCACTCCATGCAGTCATGCTGGCCACATGACCTTGGAGGTGTCTACAGACAACGCGGGCTCTTTGGTTAGAAATGGAGATAAGCACCACCCTCCAGAGTCGGACATGACTGGACTTAATGACAAGGGGAAACCTTTACCTTTTTATCACAACAAAATGGTATTAAGTAGAGAAGTGACCTATCAAAACCTAAGGGAGAAGCGATGGAATTGTTGGCTTTCTCAATATTCTGGCCTACACCTCTCACAAACTGCATCTATCGTGGTCAGTAAGAAATATGCAGTCTCATTCCCATCCATGTTAAATCAGACTCAAGACATCTTCCGGTGTTAAACCATTTATTATTAATTCCAGCTTTTCCACTAGCAATGGTTACATTTAGAAGCGCATCCAATGTTTTGGCTAAAAAGAAGTAAATACTTTGGTCAATGGCAATACATTTTACACAGAAGTATCTGCTTAGCTATTCAGAACACAGTATAAAAGAGTAAAGAAGCTACATTGCTAATGCTCTTTAGATTAGAAGCTAGAAAAAATATTTTCCTTTCCCCCTGCAACTTGTAGAATTCCTCACCCACCACGGCCAGGCTTCTTTTTAGACAAAAAAGCCAACTACACAAAAGATGGCTTTAAAAAAGAAAACATGGATTTATTTTCTTGTAATGCAAAACACCAATAGGAAATTAATACTATTTGCTTTTCAATATGAAAACTGATAGTTTGACATAGAAGCTATCCTTGCCCTTAGGTTTCCTTAAAAGTGAGCAAGGAAAATGCTAAATCTGTTATGCTTTCCTTGACACTGATGGCAATAGGCAGGCTCTTCATTTATTCCAGCTGTTTGGAAGAGTTACCTTTCCAAAACTGTTTTTTTAAAGGAATCCCAATACATTCAGGGCAGCAGTCTGTTAATCGCCTATGCCAATGTAAGATACACATGTGCATGTATTTTTAGATTGAGATGATGGTTAGTATTTCCTTCTTCCTCTGATGCCCTCAAGACTCACTGTGTCATTGCAGTAGCCATTCCTGACAGCCATTCAGTTGTTGATAGAGAGCAGATGGGATCAGACAAGCATCTGGCTATGTCCCCATCGCCAGGAGTAGACTGATGACATCATATGCTAAGGATTTCCCGGTTTGATGGAACCTGTCTCTGTGTCCAGCTATGGAAACATAGCTAGATGCTTCAATGATCCCTTTCAGCAACAGAATAGCCAAGAGGGGGGTTATCACAGTGAAATGTTAAGTTCTGGGGCCGGTGACAGGGAAGGTACAGTGGATTTCTGCATGCAGAACTCTTTTCTGTTAACTACAGTCTTGCAGGATCTTGGCCACTAACTAATTCTAACTTATAGCAAAGGAGGATGCCAACAGTGTTCTTCATGTTGAAGGTATACCGTTGAAGTGTGAGAGAACAGGGCCCTTCCACACAGCTGAATAAAATCGTACATTTTCTACTTTGAACTGGAATATATGGCAGTATGGATAGATAACCCAGTTCAAAACAGATATTGTGGGATTTTCTGCCTTGATATTCTGGGTTATATGGCTGTGTGAAAGGGCTCCCAGGCAGAACCACCTCTGAACCCACACCAGGGAGCATGACAACCCCTAAAGGTAAATGGTTTCACAGTTGCAGTGGTTTGCTGCATACAGACAAGTTTGGGCTGCAGGAAGCTTTCCCTAATCAGTCACAGCATAGAGCAAGAAAAAATCCCTAGTTATCTTTAGTCTCTAGAAGAAAATAGTAGTGTGGATTCCTTAATGCTCTACTGGCCTTCCCAATATGTTGGGAGATGGTGCTGTAAAATGGGGCAATTCCTGATGTCATTTTCAATCTCTGATCAGAGATAACATGGTGATTAAAGAGAGAGCAAGTTTAGGAGCATCCTTGGAGCAAGGTTTGGACAGAAACATCTCCCAGACCTCTGAGTTTAAGCCCACAGTCTGAGAGTTCCTCTCCTCCACCATATTTGGAGTATCAGTCCTAAAATCTTACAGTGTGCATGGCCAGTGAAGTTGTAGTCTTAACAAAATAGATTTTTACAAGCTCGAGTCCAACATGGTTGATCTTGGCCACCAACAAACCTGCAGTGCCTCGCTCTATCGCTACTACAGTGTAGTGCTTGAAGGTTTGATTAGAAGAGGTTTAGCTGCCTTCAGGATATCCAGTTCAGGATCCAGGGAGCGACCGAGACCTTCCAAAACCATAATGGCAAAGACAACTGAAGCAAAGTTGCTCTCCAGTTTCACCTGAAACACAAAATGTACCAAATTAGTAAAAGCTAACCACTAATCCACTAACAGTTGATATAATATTTTTAAAGGTTTTAATGTGGTATTAATTAATTTTAATGTCAATGTTTATTTTAATTGTATGTTGTTTTTATTGCATTGAATAGTTGCCTATGTGTAAAGCTGCCTTGAGCCCCCTTCGGGGTTCAGAAGGGCAAGGTATAAATATTGTAAATAATAAAGAAACAACAATCCCATAAAACAGAATGCAAACTGTTGATATTTTCAATATCAGGATTCAGATTGACTTACAGAATATTAAAACCACAGCAAATGCAAAATACAAAAATACCAGTAAAATGCTTATTTAGATTTAGTTGGAAAAAAGTATGCAATGTAGATTTGTTGATGATATTGCTGGTTCCCTTAAGGCTTTAACCCACCTCAGCCATCCTAGCTTGGGCTTTCCACCCTCCAACCAATTTCCATGACCTTACCAAATCTTGTATCCTGCAGCTACTCCTTGGAACCAATGATGCAACCCATTTTCTTTGGTCTTAATACCCTTTCTATCTGAGGCCCCTTCCACACGGAGGAATAAAGTCATACAGAATCTGCTTTGAACTGGGATATATGGACTCAGATAACACAGCGGATATTGTGGGTTATTCTGCCTTGATATCCTGGGTTATATGGCTGTGTGGAAGGGCCCTGAGAGGCTCTGGTGTGTTTGAGAGGCAATTAGTAATTTTTGGTGTAGCCCTTCCCATGAAGGATACAGCTATGTGGAATGGAAAAGCATTTGGAAAGAGAATTTAAAGGAACACAGGGAAGTTTTTATTCCTCAGTTCATCTACTTCCAACAGATTGAAGAGAAGCAACAGATACAGGATCTAATTAAGAGCAGTTTCCTGAATAGCTCAATTTTTACTTCTATGTCTTGACCTTAAAATCTCCAATGTATGTGAACAATCCTCAGGAATGCCTCATAATAATAACAACAATAACAATAATAACAACAACAATAAATAAAACTTTATTTATACCTTGCCACCATCTACCATAAGGACTTGGGGTGGCTTACAAAATAGCACACAAAGATGCCATACATAAAATACATAATACATAAAATGAAATGCATCAACATAAAAACAATAATAACATTACTGTTATGAATGCATGAAATCTTAAGAGCATGAAATTGTAAGAATTCTGAGTTCAGGATCAATTGGATATCCTTTAGCTGGCATGATATTCATGCAGTAATAAAGAGGAACCTACTCACATGTTTTAAAAAAACCCTCACCTGATGGGTCATCAGGAGCTTGAAAACACTGGACAGTAGGCTTGCAACTTGGAGCTGAAAAGCAAATGGTTGGAAATGCCATTCAGTTAATTCATCAGGATGCCTTAGCTACTATAATTTGGCATTAATTTTAATAGATCTTAAAATTAAAGTGTGAAGACTGAAAATTATAGCTGGCATCATGTTAATGAGTTACTCAGACTTCAGTGCAATTACAGCACACACCATCAATAGAAAGCCATGTTTTAATTCCATTCTGCTCACCTTTCCAAGTGCTATAGTGTTGCTCCTGGCCTCCTTCACTAACTGGGCCATATCAGCTTTGAATTTCTCCACATTCTTGCACTGATTAGCCCTTGCGTGATGAAGAATCAACTCTGCCACTCTTTCCCCCTGTGGAATAAACCATGGCAGTTGGCTACTCAACTGAGTCAGGCACTAGAAGTGCAGAACGTCCAGAAGATTTCTTCCCATTACCAGCCATTCTACTGCTTCACTGAATTTAAGGAAGTGTTTCTCAACCTGTTTGGGATATTTCAGAGGTTGCCAAAGACAATCAGAAAATACATATTTCTGATGGTATTAGAAACCCCTTTGGCAGAGAAGGCTGAAGATCTCTCCGCTTGTCTTTCTCTTCCTTTTCGGAAACAGATGGCAAATCTTCCCACCAAAAGCCCTCCTCCTGCTATGATTGGCTGGCTCTCAGCCAAGGGGAGGGCTGTTTTTGAGAGAGATTCCAAGTGAGGTGGAGAGGGGAGAGCAGGCATGCTCAGTGCAGTGCTCTCTGGAGGTAGGTAAACTACATCTCCGCTGAATCACTGTCAATTCCTCCCAAATCCCTCCAGTATTTTCTGTTGGTCAGGGAGGTTCTATGTGGGAAGTTTGGCCCAATTCTATCTTTCGTGAGGTTCAGTAAGCTTTGATTGTGGGTCAACTATAAATCCCAGCAACTACAACTCCCAAATGACAAAATTATTCCCTCCCAACCCCACAAGTATTCAAATTTGGGCATATCGGGTATTTGTGCCAAATTTGGCCCAATGAATGAAAATACATCCTGCATATCAGATATTTACACTACAATTCATAACAGTAGCAAAATTACAGTTATGAAGTAGCTACGAAAATAATTTTATGGTTGGGGGGTCACCACAATATGAGAAACTATATTAAGGAGTCATGGCATTAGGAAGGTTGAGAAACACTGAATTAGGGGATAATTTGTTCAGTTCATATCTCATATCTAAACCATGAATGAATGCAGCTTTATTTATATCCCTCCCCATCTCCCAAAGGGACAAAACAAAACAATAACACAAATAATAATGAAACATATAAAAGTCAAACAATTTAAATCACCAAAATAAAAAAAATCATAATAAATAAGATGTAATATACGAAGCTTGAAGACCAAAGGACAGAATGATCCAATGAACTAGATCCCAAAAAAGCCTCAGTGCAGACACAGCACTGATTTCTGAACCATGGTTGGGTCTTAGTGACAAGACTCAATCCCATTCCTCACTTCTCCAATGCATACATTCTCCATACATTGCTATCAAACATGTGTAGTGTTATATCTGCCTTATCAATAGCCATGGTTAGTATCAGATCTATGGATCACTTTTATCCAAGGTTTTCAAAACTACTTCAAAATTCTGATTGTGAACTCTAAAGAATAGAAGTGTTAATCGTGATTAGTAGTAGTACAGAGCAACAGAGCAGCATGTCACACGATAAAATAATGCTGGTTAATTAGTCAAAGATATTTCCTTCACATATGCAAAGGGATAATACAATCATTTGTACACATTTTTTCTATATCCCTGCCCAATGTATGAAAAGGTTATGCAGCTGGCCAAGGTAAAACTGGTGGGCCCATAGTCCAAAGAACATGCATTGACCCCACTGCAATGTCTTCCCTAGGCGCCTCATAAGCCCAAAGGCCTACGTGGGAATCAAGGCTCACCTGTCCTAAGACCACAGCTGTGAAGACTGCCCGGAAATTCTCAAGATCAGCCGTCTGCAACTCAGCTACAATTCCTGCATCCAGAAGCACCAGTCGGAGTGGGGAAGGAGAAGGTTGCACTTCCAGAATGAGTGTGTCCAACAAGTCCACAATGACTGTCTGGTCCTCCAGATGGTCACTGAAGAGATCTGCTCCCTGGACTAGGACATTTCCAGGATGCAGATCAGCATGGACAAAGTTATCAACAAACACCTAAAAAATGACAAATCATAGCATTGAAAGAATGCAGCCTTAACATTTCTAATAGAGCACTTGGCTTAGTATGAACTTCTGGTTGTCAAGATCTTCAGAGAAGGTTCTCCTGAGACTGTCACCCCCCTCAGAGGCCTGCTTGATGAATTCCTGGAAGAGGACTTTCTCCACCTATGTTGCTTCCATGCAAAGATATATATTCAGAATTGCAATCAATTCCCATTCTCACTGTGTTTAGGACAAATGTGAAGGCACATCTTTCTACTTTTTGCAACTGCTTTACCAATCACTATGGTGATTCTGAATGCGTGATTAATTTTAATGGCACTATCTTATATATTTTATTTGATTTTAATTTTTGTTGATTTGCTTTAATTATGTTAGCCACCTTGAATACCATTTGTTTTTTAAAAAAAATAGGAAAGCAAGATTTTAAAAATCTAGAAGTCCATAATATTTGAACTACCAATTCCTTTTCCTAAAGACTTACCATCTTTAGAAGCATGTCCATACCCATCTTGGCTAATTTTCTCCGTAACTCCATTGTGGCCTCTGTGTGCAAATAATGAGATATTGGTTTGCTCTCCTGAAACAAAGACAAAGTTAAATCAGGAAGGGCTCACAAATTCTTTACAACAATCTTAAGAGTGACACTGTAGGCACTTCAGCACGGAATGTGAATGTTTCAATAGAGAAGATACAACCCATTTACTCAATATGATGTGCTCCTGGTTGTTCAGTACTATTTCATTTTGTTCCATAATAATATCCTTTTAAAAAAAATTCTGACCAGGAAAGTTTTGTGTGTGTGTGTGTGTATGTCAGAAGTGACTTGAAAAACTGCAAGTTGCTTCTGGTGTGAGAAAATTGGCCGTCTGCAAGCATGCTGCCCAGGGGACACCTGGATATTTTTGTTGAGTGAGTGGGCTTATTAACAAAAGACCCTCTCCATGAATGTGTAGCAGAGTAACTTATTAGTAGCAGTGTGACCCAACACCAGTAGCCCAAAATGATAAAAAGAACAAAAACACAGAGACCAATGATATTTCTTCCTTATGAGGCTTTCCTTTATAACAAAATAATATGGTTGCACCATTTACAAGAACAAGGTTTCAACACAAATAAAGTTCAACCGTCACACTGGAGCTTCTCATACCATGGCTTATCTCACACACAGGCATCTCACAGACTAAGGCCTACCTCACACTGTAAGGCCTTCTCACAGAGTGAGACCTTTCTCCCACTGAGGCAAACTAACACAGAGGCCGACTAAACTACAGACACACCTACTTATATAGAACTGCATCTTTTGCTGAATCGTTGCATTCATTTAACCCTTTCAGTGCATAACTCACATTTCTATAATTAAAGATACCTAGTTAATATTTCTGACAATTTCTCCATACTGTGCGAGGCCTCTCTCATGCCCCTACATGAGAAGCTGGAGCTGACAGATGGGAGCTCACCCACAGTTAAGGGTCTTACCCAGGCATGAGCAAACTTCAGTCCTCCTGATGTTTTAGATTCCAACTCCCACCATTCGTAACAGTCTCAGGCTCCTTCCTTTTCCCCCTCAGCCGCTTAAGGGGTCTGAGGCTGTTAGGAATGGTTGGGATTAGGAGTCCAAAACACCCGGAGGGCCAAAGTTTGCCCATACCTGGTCTTACCTCAAAGGTTTCCACTAGTATGTTTCTTGTCACAAAAGGATGGAGCGGTTTTGGGAACTTCACATAATCAACATCTCGGAAGTTGAAATGGAAGCGTTCTAGGTTCCTTGCTTCATACCGCAAGTCAATCTAAGAGGAGCAAGGAAAGGATATGAAAGAAAGGTGCCTCATGTAAACATTGCACAGGTTCTGTAACACAAAGGAGAGTTCAGCCAAAATGAGCCTCTAAATCAGGCATGGGCAATCTTCGGCCCTCCGGTAGGCTGTTAGGAATGGTGGGAGTTGAAGTCCAAAACACCTGGAGGGCCGAAGATTGCCCATGCAAGCTCTAAATGCTAGGAAAAATATTGTAAAATCTTGATTTCAGTGACAATAGAAAATAATAAGATTGTAGAAGATTGATATTCAAAACATAACTGGTTCCCACCTGCTGAATCATGAGCTTCTCAAACTCCTCCACAATCTCTGTCAGACTCAGCCACTTAACACCTGGGAGAAGCTCAATGAATCTACTACTCATCTTCATAAGGAACAGATCCATTTGGACTTGTTGAACTAATCCAGGGTGCAGCACCTGTAGAAGGGCGAAAAAGATAACCAGGTCATGCTTGGAAAATTGTGAGAGTTGCAATTAAAACAAGGAACTTTCCTACTCTTCCACTGGCTGATAATAGTTTACCTTAATGGCCACTGGAAGAAGTTGGTCTCTCTTTGGAAAAGATGAAGGTGCATTTGGATATCCAGACACTGAACTCCAATCACCACTTCCACGGATGCCATCTGTATGATGCAACCAACGGTCATCATATCTTTCTGGAATATGTTCATGCTTCCTCTTCCAAAGCCATTCAAAGAATCCCTTAAACCCCAAGACCTGCCAGTATTCCAAGGCAGAATCAAATCCAAAGCTCTTTGAAAGATCCTTCGCTGCTGGCTCTCCAAGAGCAGAGATGTCCACATAAGCTTTATATACCTGGGCAACGCAACCAGACCCTACAGGTTCCTGGCTTTCAAATGTGAAGACCTTCTCCCAGCTTCCCCCAAATTCTGTTGTCAAAGAACGCTTGGTGTAATCCCAAGAGTGAGGGACAACCTTGATGTGCAGCTTGGAGAACTTGAGGCAGAAGTCTTCCGAAAAGAGATCCCGCCTGGTGCTGGCCCATTGCCCCAGTTTGATGAACGTGGGGCCAGATGACTCTGTCGCTTTTAGCAAAAGATGGATCCAGAGCGAGGCGAAACTTGGAGAGATGTAGGTGAAGGGGTAGAGCCAAAGCAACGGGCCAAACTTTAGCAACAAGACGCAGGCTCGGATCACAAAGGAAAAGACGAGCCCAACTCGCTGGAAGAAAGCAGCATTATCAGGAAGGATGTGGATCTTTCTTTGAGGGTGAAGACTAGATATATTGTCACACTTTGAGTCCTGAGAAGAGCCTCCAATTCCCCAGCACAACAAAGTAATCCGTATCAGGCCTTTCCCTCTGAACCGCCTTTGGATCTCACTGCTGGAGGAATCCCCAACAGACCTTCTCTCCCAGTTTCTTAAATAACACAAAGACTTCCTCAGAGGGAGCCATCGGACCTTAGAGAGAAAAACCCGGGAAGCGCAATAATAGCATGAAGCCATCTTGCAGTAGAAGAGGTGTAGGAAAAAAACAAAAGGGAGAAAACATTGGAGAATGTGAACATGAAGAGTTTCAACAACACAGGGAGGTTCAAGTCAAGAACATCATCATCACAACTCAAGTGTTTTCTCACCTATTCTTGTCAGAGCTTGAATTCTGGCTTTTATATTGAATTCTGCAATATATCCCAAAGACATGACAACACACACCCTTTCAGTCATCAGGCTCTAACTTTATCACATCTGGAGCAGCAGAAAACACAGAAATTCTTATTCCTTCAATCACGGTGTGTTGTTTACTTTGACCCCTTGTCTTACTCTTGTCTTACTCAACTGCCAAGTATGCCTGCCCTCTTTGGCACAAATCTGCCCAAGCGAAGCAGGTGAACACAGCATTGAACAAAACATGCAAAATAATCACAGGATGTCTTAAACCTATACCTATTGATAGACTCTACAAGCTAGCCAGTACTGCCCCCACCCCAACTGATGTACAAGGGGCAGTTGCTGCTAACTGTGAGAGAAATAAGGTTGAACACTGTGAAAGCCATCCACTACATAGCTATCAGCTTCCTCCCAGTAGACTCAAATCAAGGAAAAGCCTCACGAGAACCACCAATCCTCTTAATGTTCCCACAGCAATAGCAAGACTATCCCTCTGGGCAGCTAAACCAGGAAATCCCAATTGGATTGTCCCCTACGAGGGTCTTCCTCCAGGGGCAAACCAAGAGTGGGCAACTTGGAAGTCCCTGAACAGACTCAAAAGTGGAGTGAGCAGATCATAAGACAACCTGTCAAAGTTGCACTCCCTAAAAGAATCCTCCACCTTGTGCAACTGTGGAGCAGAACAAACAACTCTGCATCTGTATGCTTGTCCGTGATGTCCTGCCTCATGCACAGAGGAAGAATTGTTGGGAGCTACAGACAATGTGGTCACTGTTGCCCATTTCTGGTCAAAAGCTATTTAGCCGCTTGTGCTCCTTCTATTTGTATCAGTTTTCATACTCAATTATGCAATGCTTTTGATACAAAATACACAAAAACTTAAACCCCAGGAACAAGAGGCTCCAATGTCAACCAGTCAACAGCTCTGCTCAGATCTCCCAAAATTGGGGTGACTGTGGTTTAATTGACTGATTGGATCCATCTATTTGTTTGGGCCGATCCTTGATTTAGTAGTCTATCCATCCACTGTCCTGGCATACATACAGAGGAAGAATTGTTCGGAGGCTGCAGACAATGCGTTCGCTGTTGCCCGTTTTTGGTCAAAAGCTATTTAGCAGCTTGTGCTCCTTCTATTTGTATCAGTTTCCATACTAAATTATGCAATGCTTTTAATACAAAATCCACAAAAACTTCAACCTCCAGGAATGAGAGACCCCAAAGTCAACCAGTCAACAGCTCTGCTCAGATCTCCCAAACTTGGGGTGACTGTGGTTTAATTGATTGATTGGATCCATCCATTTGATCGAGTCCATCCTTGATTTAATAGTTTATCCATCCATTGTCCTGCCACGTGTATAGAGGAAGAATTGTTGGGAGACTGCAGACAATGCGGTCGCTGTTGCCCGTTTTTGGTCAAAAGATATTTAGCCGCTTCTGCTCCTTCTATTTGTATCAGTTTCCAGACTAAATTATGCCATGCTTTTGATACAAAATCAATAAACAAGAACTTCGACCCCAGGAATGAGGAATGCACAGAGGAAGAATTGTTGGGAGCTACAGACAATGCGGTCGCTGTTGCCCGTTTTTGGTCAAAAGATATTTAGCCGCTTGTGCTCCTTCTATTTGTATCAGTTTTCATACTAAATTATGCAATGCTTTTGATACAAAATCAATAAATAAAAACTTCAACCCCAGGAATGAGAGACTCCCCCCACCCAGGTCACCCAGTCAACAGCTCTGCTCAGATCTCCCAAACTTAGGGTGACTGTGGTTTAATTGATTGATTGGATCCAACCAAAAATACATAAAAACTTCAACGCCCAGGAATGAGAGACCTCAAAGTCTCCCAATCAACAGCTCTGCTCAGATCTCCCAAACTTGGGGTGACTGTGGTTTAATTGATTGATTGGATCCAACCATTTGATGGAGTCCATCCTTGATTTAGTAATCTATTCATTCATTGATCCCATGAATGGGAGACCCCACCAAGTCATTCAGTCAGCAGCTCTGCTCGGATCTCCCAAACTTGGGGTGACTGTAGTTTCATTGATTGATTGGATCCATCTATTGGATCGAGTCCATCTTCGATTTAGTAGTCTATACATCCATTGAATGGGAGACCACCTAAGTCAACCTGTCTTCAAACAACCCTGCTGAGGTCTTGCAAACTCAAGATAATTATAAGACTGGGGTGGTTTCCTCGACTGACTGAGTCTTGATGGATTGAGTCTTGATGGATTGAGTAGAGGACCCAAAGGAAGACAGCCCACTTCTAGGTTTCACCAAATAGATCCTCGCTTCTGGATAGATCCTGGGAAACTGGATCCTCCACCAGCACCTTTTCCTTGGAAGGCAGGATTTCATGCATTCCCCTCCAACTGCAACGATGGACCGGAAGTCACCCCTGCAGGACTCCACGTGGTTCGCTCAATGCGTTCCATAAGACGCAGCAAGTAGAACAGAGGCAAAGCAGCAGAACCCAACGTTCCATCGGGAGAACTTCCGGGAGCGGAGTCCCCGCCCCTTAAAGGGACAGCGCGGGAAAGGCAGAGCAGCCAGGGCTCATTCAAAGAGTCCTGGTTAAGATGCTCCTTTGATACCACTTTAACTGGCATGCCAGAATGCCATGGAATCGTGGGAGATGTAGTTTGGCGAGGTACCAGAGAAGACTTATAAAGTTAAAGGTTTCCCCTTGACATTAAGTTTAGTGGTGCACATCTCCATTTCTAAAGAGCCGGCGTTGTCCTTAGACGCCTCCAAGGTCATGTGGCCAGCATGACTGCATGGAGCCTGTAAAATTGCAACTTCCATTATTCCATAGCCTTGGGCCATGGCTGTTCAAGTGGATATCAAGTTGCATTAGTTCTGTGGATGCACCCAACATTATCTACAAATGTCCAACATTTCAGGAAACAATTAATTCAGTTTATTAATTACTAAATCTACAAAAGTCAAACCCATCAATATGGAGGCCTGGCTGTTTCACTGTGTCGGCTGCTGCTAAAACCAGGACTGTGTCTTAGCATGACTTCGCCACTAGATGGCAGTACGCATAGTAACAATTTAACAACCTGGGTTGCTGTGAGTTTTCCCAGAACAACAGACTGGTTCAATTTTGGGAAAGGAGTACGACAAGGTTGTATACTCTCACCTAACCTATTCAACTTGTATGCAGAACACATCATACGATGTGCGGGGCTTGACGAATCCAATGCTGGGGTTAAAATTGCTGGAGGAAACATTCGCAACCTTAGATATGCAGATGACACCACTCTGATGGCCGAAAGCGAGGAGGAGCTGAGGAGCCTTCTAATCAAGGTGAAAGAAAAAAGTGCAAAAGTTGGGTTGCAGTTAAAAATAAAAAAAACCAAGATTATGGCAACAAGGCTGATTGATAACTAGCAAATAGAGGGAGAAAACATGGAAGCAGTGACAGAATTTGTATTTCTAGGAGCAAAGATTACAGACTGCAGCCAGGAAATCAGAAGACGCTTACTTCTTGGGAAGAGAGCAATGTCCAATCTCGATAAAATAGTGAAGAGTAGAGACATCACACTGGCAACGAAGATCCACATAGTTAAAGCAATGTTATTCCCCATAGCCACCTACCAATGTGAGAGCTGGACCTTAGGGAAGGAAGATAGATGCTTTTGAACTGTGGTGGTGCTGGAGGAAGTTTTTGAGAGTGCCTTGGACTGCAAGAAGATCCAGCCAGTCCATACTTCAGGAAATAAAGCCTGACTGCTCATTGGAGGGAAGGATAGTAGAGGCCAAGATGAAGTATTTTGGACACATAATGAGAAGACAGCAAAGCCTAGAGAAGACAATTATGCTGGGGAAAGTAGAAGGAAAAAGGAAGAGGGGCCGACCAAGGGCAAGATGGATGGATGGCATCCTTGAAGTGACTGGACTGACCTTGAAGGAGCTGGGGGTGGTGACAGCCGACAGGGAGCTCTGGTGTGGGCTGGTCCATGAGGTCACAAAGAGTCGGAGATGACTGAACGAATGAACAACAAATGGCCATGTTCCAGATGCATTCTCTCCTGACGTTTCGCCTGCATCTATGGCAAGCATCCTCAGAGGTTTTGAGGTCTGTTGGAAACTAGGAAAGTGGGGTTTATATATAACAGCAAATACCCATTTAAAGTTATTTATTGCCTTTCTCAAACTCTGATCTGGAGAAAAAACTCTTGTCTGTTTGAGGCAGGTGTGAATGTTGCAATTGTCCATCTTGATTAGCATTTACTGGCTGTGCAGCTTCAAAGCCTGGGGGAATCCTTTATTAGGGGGTGTTAGCTGGCCTTGATTGTTTCGTGTCTGGAATTCCCCTGCTACTCCCTGCCTGGGGGAATCCTTTGTTGGGAGGTGATTGGCTGGCCCTGCCATAGATGCAGGCAAAACGTCAGGAGAGAATACTTCTGGAACATGACTATACAGCCAGGAAAACTCACAGCAACCCAGTAATTTCGCCTTTGACCTTAGGCCATGAAATCCATTACAAAGAACAAAACTTCTGGACTTTACAGACACTGCCTGGGGTTTCAGAGGAAGGAGGTCCTATGTTCCAACTGAGGCTCCTTCCATACAGCTGAATAAAATCCCACATGATCTGCTTTAAACTAGGATTCAGATAACCTAGTTCAAAGCAGACATTGTGGGATTTTCCGTCTTTATATTCTGAGTTTTATGGCTCTGTGGGAGGGCCCTCACTTAAAACCATCTAAATTGCTGGTGTCCATATTTACTTGATGGTGCCAGTTGGTGTTATGATCAGGACATTTATTAATATTCCAATATTTGAACATCTTTCAGTTGTCTTTCCTGTTCTTCTTGTAATGTTTATGATTTTATCGACTCTCCTTATTTTTATATTTGCAAGCACCAAGGGCATTGCCATTTGGATGGCATATTAGCATTACAAATAAGTAAATAAGCAGTAGCAGCAAATCTCAATTTAAAGTTATTTATTGCCTTTCTCAAACTCTGATATGGGGAAT